AAAATTATCAGCAATTGTAATGGTGACACTTTTTTAATCTTTTAGTGACGCTTATAAGTGTCGATAAAAATGATTTTTCTTGTTTTGAGGGTTCAAGATTTTTTAGAGAAGGTTACAGAAAGGTTGGTTGAAGGTGGCCGATTAGTTAGAAGTGTTATTTCTCCATGATTTCTTCTACATGTTGGTTTACCTAACTTTGATCTCTATCTTTCCTATCCATGCTCTCTCCTCTATCAAGTCTCCTTTTTTCTCTTTTTTTTTTGGGATTTTTTTATGTATAAAGTATCAAAGGATCGTTCTTTTTTTTTTTTGTTTTGTTTTGTTTTGCAAGGATTGGTTTTTACCAAAAAGAGAACTGGAATTGTTGGAATGGTATTGTTGGCATCTGTTGTATCGAACTCAACCTCTTCAGTTTTGGATAATAAGAAAAAAAAAATCCCATTATTGTCATTAACAATTATGATAGCTTCACCTACAATCTTTGCCTGGTTTTGGTATCATGTTCAAAATTTTGTGTTATTTGTCAAATTTTTTGCCTTCTCTGAATTTTTCTTATGGTTTAAGGCTTGATTCTGAAATGCTGTTTGATTGCCCACAAATCTTGAGAAAAAAAACCAAAAACAAAAATACTAGTTGCTAGCTTATTGAAATTTATTATACTTTGTATCTAAAAGAATATATTTAGATTGTTAGTGAAGACTTGATCATTTAATTAAAGTTAAGAAATCCAATTAAACCTAGTATAATAGGAAGACAATGTATTGGTTAGATTGGTTTCTTTTTATAAGAATTCAGATAAAATACATAGACATATAAGTATAATAGAAAACTTATTATTGCATGATTATTAGTTTTTAGTGTTTCATTTCATTTTCGTTTTTAATTGCTTGTGATTTTCGGTGGTTCAATTAGAGAATAATGAAATATGTATAATAATGTGAAAAAAGGCATCCTTTACAAATATCAACGAAATGGGATTAAAATTGGAGTATAATTTCATAAATGCTTCTATTTGATCGAATGAATTTATTTCTACACACTGGCCGCATCTATAATCATTTTACTGTATTTTTTATGTAACTTTTAAAAGGTTTTTGTAATTTCCCTTTAAACTAATGGTGCTAGGAAAAAAAGATTTTGATAGTGATGGATCTGTCTTTCATTTTATTTTATTCAACCTGCTTAAAATCTGATCATTGATTTTTTTTTTTATTGAAAACCTTGCACTTTAGGATGGAACTTTACTAGTTTAGTGGTGCCAAGACATACCCAAGCAAAAGCAACAAATTTGTTGGCTTTAATTCTTAGATAAATTTTTATCCAATTAAGATTTCAAGCTATTGATGTTATATTGACTGTCAAATAATAATGCATAAATTCAATTCTATATCTTCTCAAAAACTTTTTATCTTATTGCATAAATTTAATTCTACATAAAAAAACTTCTTATCTTATTGCATGTTAGCATAAAAAGATAAAATAATAAATTTAAAAAATATAAAAATTGTACCCTTAGTAAAGCGAAAGCAACCCTCTAATAATAAATTAATGTTATCATTTTGCTAAAGTATGATTCATTAAATAATTACAAAAAAAAAATTACTTTGTAGTTAAGATCAAAATAAGTTTTTTTTTTTTTTTTTTAAGTAAGGAACTAGTTCTTTTATCAAAATTTTCATTAATTTTACGTTACGTTTGGATAAACATTAGTAAAAGAAAAGAAAGGAAAGTAAATAAAGATAAAGTTTTTTAAAGAAAAGGAAATAATATATGTACTATTTATTTGGATAGCTAAAATTAATAAAGGAAAAGAAAGTTACGGAATCTTAACAATTATTGTTGGGTTAAATAATGAAAAGGAAATGAAATAATTTATTATATTATTTTTTTATTATAACATTTGATAGTTTTTGTTTTTATTATAACATTTACATGTTTATTTAATATATTCCATGTTTTCAATTGTCCTTTATTTCTTCATAAAAATAGTCGCAAATGAAATTTATGGAATTCATAAAAATAAGAAAAAAATTAGAGACAATAAATTTATTCGTAAATAATGTTTTGTATTTTCAATCTAATTTTAAAATTCAAAATCATGCACTTTTAATTTAGATAAATTAATAAACTATATAATAATTATTTTATATTTTAAAAATTTTATTCTTTTCCTTCCCTTCATTTTCCCCTAATTTGGGATAATTAAAAAATGAAAAAAGTTGAGGAAACGAATGAGAGCTAAGCATACATTAATTTCCTTTACTTTTATTTATGTTATATACAAACAAGGGAAATGATTCCTCATTTTCTTTTGTTTCTTGTTCTTTCTCACTTCATACCTCAATCCAAACATACTATTAAAGTTAAATGCTTACTAAACAACATGTATAACATGTGTAATACGTTTGTCTCATGATGTGTATATAAATATTTTATTAAAATTTTAGTTTAATATTAATTTTTAAAAATCTATTTTTATTAAAAAAGAAAAAATATTATTAATAATCCATATGACAATAAAATAAATAAATACTAATATTTTTAATATTATAAAGGAAATTAATTGCTTTGTTTAATTAGTTAAAATTATTTCTATTTAAAAAAGAAAAATATTTTACTAACAATCATACTATAATAAATAATTTTAAGATTATAAAGTAAAGTAATTGTGTTATTGGAATTTTAAATTTAATTTGAAGTTCTAAAAAAATTATTTGCTATTTAAAGCAATAATATATATATATATATATATATATACACTAATGTCACATCTCGCGTACCACTGTAATTTTTTTTTAATTATTTTACCATTGAAATGTAAGAAAACAGGTTAAACTATAACAACAAATCCTAATTTCTAAATTGATAGTATAAGAAATTATATTCAAATAAGTATTATAATTAAAAAAAAAGTTTAGTATATTATTGACTTATAGTTTACCTTGTTCATTTTTCTTTTTTGGGAAATTCTCCACAAAATAATCTGAAGGCTATGTAACTTGTGTAATTGAGTTAGGTAAGCTATCATCAACATAATTTGATTCATGTGTATTTATACTATTTAATAAATATGTTAAACTTAAATTATATACATTTATTCATAATTAATTAAATTCATGAATATCATAGATTTATAAATGATTAAGGTTGTAGTTAGATTTATTCATTTTGGATTTGATTCATAATTAATTAATAATAAATATAAATCTACACTTAAATTTTTAAATGATATAAAACACAAAGTATATTTATCCACTATTAATTGAATTTATGAATTTCTAAATTCATGAATAGCTAAAGTATAGATTAATGTTAGGTTAGATGTTATTAAGTAAACCTTGATAACATAACAAAAAAAGAAAAAGAAAAAAGTGACTTGGCAATTAAAAGGATCCAAATGTGGCAAAAATGAAGTTGACATGGTCGTGTCCATGTGTCAATTAGATAGACAACATGAAATAAAAATATATGTATGTTAGATATAACTCCAAAATTAAAATAAAAAAAATACTAATGATTTTTAATATTATAAATTAAATTAATTATTTATTAACAAATAAATATGTGTAAAAGTAAAACTATAATATTTTATAAAATATATCTAAAAGATAAAAATTTAAAAACTTTCTTTAATTATTTTTATTTTCCTTTTTTCCTTTTTTTTTCTTTTTTGATTCTCTTCCCTATTAGCTAGGGCCTAGTTGGCACCAAGGAAGGTCGAATTTGACCCAATATACACCACAATAGTTGGTTAGAGCTAAATTAGCCCTTACTTACCAGTGATTTGCCAAATAAGGAAGGGATTGGGCTTTACTAGCCAATTCTCTTCCCTTTTGTCACATCAATGACAACATTTGTCAATATAGCCCCAATTGATCGTCCTGGTATTGTTCGGGCCAAACTTGGCCCTCGTCAGTGTTTGTTGACCTTTGACTAATGACAGAATGAGTGAAAAAACAGAGAAAATAAAGGTCAAATTATACTATAGATTTTTATACTCTATTGAAATTTAGAATTTAGTCACTTTATTATTATCCATATAAATTTAATTCTCCCATTATTTTGTATTATTTTGATTTAATAATCTTAGATCAATCATTAATATTCTAGTATTTGCATTTTTCAAATATTTTTGAGCTTTGCCACTTGAACTCTTATATTTTTATTGCAATTAATAAAATTCTCATACAAATTTATATTTACACCAAATTAAGCTCTTATGATGAAAAAAAAAAAACTTTCATTAGCTACATGTTGCCATGTTGGAATGAAAATTTTTTGCCCAATGATAATGCTGGTTTAGGAAAATTGGTTGCGTGACATGTTAACATGGAATTCAATAACATATCTTTTTGAGTTAATAGTATTTATAGGTTTTAATCTTTGAATCAAATTTTATTTTAGTCTTTAATTTTTAAAAGTTTTAATCAAATCTACCAACGAGTGTTGGCAAAAGTGGTCAAAGGCGAATGCTTGGTGCTAATGCACCCAGGTTTGAATCCTCACACAGTCCCTTGTTAATGGGTGATCTATAAGTCCAAAAAATCATTAGGTGAAAGTCCAATAGATCTCTAAATCCCAATTAGGTTGGCAGTTTGTTTCTAAAGTTTTTTTGTTACCAGTTAACGGGATGCGACAACATTAGCTAATATTTCATGTAACAAATGAGAGATTAAAATAAATTTTTTTAAAAATTTAAAAATTTTAAAATGAAACTATTTTAAAAGAAAATACCTTAAAGATAGAGTCACTTTTTATGTTTTTAAACATTTTTTATTATCAACTAATATCATGTGAAGACATCAATTAATATTTCACGTGATAAATAAAAGATTAAAATATAATTAAATCAAAATTTAAAAATTAAAAAATGAAATTATTTTAAAATAAAATAAATTAATATCGTTTGATGACATTTAAGAAAATAAAATAAACTAATTTCAAAATGAGAAATCAAAATAAAATTATTTCAAAATTTAACAAAAAAAACAAAACTATTTTAAAATAAAATAACGAAACGATCAATATCAGATTGGTTGATGTAGTTGGTGCCGAGCAGTAGCAAGATTTTGACAAGGACAAAAAAGGGAAGTTAAGACATTGGCATGGCATGGCGTGTGCTACTAAATTTAAATTAACAGTAGCGCCAGTGTGATTTTATGAAGATGATAAAACCGATGATACAATTGTAGAAATTTGAGATTGGTTTCTATTTTCTTTTTGTCTCTTTGTGGAAGGACAGCTTAAGAATTTTTGCTTCTTCAACCTCCCGAATCCCAGCTCCTTCCATTCTTACTTTTGTTTCTTCAAGGAATTAAAGATGGCGGCATCATCGACGTTTGAATCCTCTTTAAGAAGAGGGAGTCAAACAACGACGACGACCTCAAGAAAGACAACACCATCATCTTCGGGCTCTTCGAGAAGAGCAGCAACAGCTCCTTTTCGGAGATCCAGAAGCGTTAGCGCCTTTTCAAGAGCCTCTCATTCAGACTTTTCCGAATTCTCCATAAAAACAGACAACCCTCTCTTTGACAACAACAGCAACGACGACGCTTTGTTCCCAAATTCCATCCTTAAATCCGACCAAATTACTTCCAAAACCAAACACAAAGCGGTTGCCGCCGATGATTATGGTAATAGGAGAGGCAGATCTATTTCCAGAGTTGGTCCTGATGGAAGACACGTGTCGGGTTCGGGGAATAGCAAGGAGTCGTCTCGGAGCTTGTCGATTGTGGATACAAGGAGACGTGGCCGCTCTGTCTCCCGCACTCCACTTTCAAGAACCCGTTTCGCTGCTTCTGAGGTTTCTCCAAATTTCTCTCTCTCTCTCTCTCTCTCTCTCTCTCTCTCTTATAAAAAAATAAGATTTTTGTTCAATTTAATTTCAAATGGAAATTAGTTTTTCTTTTGCTTTCTTATTGAAATAGAAAACTAATTGGTAAAAGAACAAAATTACGTTTGAGCAAATAGTTCTATTGTAAAACTGATTCTTTTGGGAAGACAAATTAAAATATATGAATTATTTGTCTTATATAGAATAATTATGTTCGAATTGGTGTTATTGTATTTCTTAACAACTTTCAGGAAGCAGAAAGAAAGTGGCAAAAGTAATAACCTAACAACTTCTAAGAGACTTATTTTTCTTTTCTGTTTAATTGTTTAATTCTTTTTCATTCATATTTGTTGATTTTGGGCAGACTGAGATGGAGCAAGAAGGTAATTTGTGGATGAAATCCAGGGATAAAGGTAATTTAAGTGCTACTTCGGGTAATGGTTCAAAGGGTAATTTAGTTAGGAGCAGTTCTAGTTTGACACGGTCAAGTCAGAGGAAGCCTATTGATCCGTTGGATGCTTCTCCTAAAAGTTTGGTATTAGCTCTATGGACCCTTTTTTTCAAATAATTTTTTTTGAAAGATTTGTTTGATATTGCTTGCACATAGGGAGGGATTTGCTTCGTAATGATGTGATAATGTTTCATGTTTTTTTGTTTAGTCCCGTTTAAAAACTGCAAAATTGGATGGTGCAATCTCAACAAGTTCTTTTTCCGAAGATGAACTGATGGATGTAAGATTCTGGGTCATTGGTTTATTGTATATAGAGCTTTAAATTCAGGCTAGATGCTTAAATGTTAGTTTCCCAAGTGCTTAGTATTTAAATTTCAATGCCCTTCAATTTTATTGTTTTACATGTCAAATCTTCTGATACACTTTGTTATCATGCTTTATTTTGAAGTCATTCCAAGGGGATAATCTGGTGGGAGATGCTACTGCTGCCAGTGACATATACAGAACTGTTAAATCAGAAGTGAGGCGGGCTATTTCTGATATCCAAAATGAGCTGGAGAATGTAAGTTAATTTGGCTTCTTGGATTCAAAATTTTCCTTTGGGTCTCTAAATGAGTTGAGTGCAATTAAGTTAAATGACATCATAAAGTTTTATAAATAATCAGTGCGATTTGTTCTAAAATTTTATTTCTTAATTCTGTATTTTCTGTTATTTCTTTTAAAATTTAAGTTGGTCACTTTGCTATAAGAAAAAAAAAAAAATGGTCAACATTAAACACAAGGATACCTTTGTCTTCATAGCTTTGTTTCTACATGTACTTGTAAAATGTAAATCTTCCAGAGAAGAGTATTCTGATAGTTTTACTCAGTAACTGGAAAATTTTATTTTGCTTTGATGTTAGAAAATTTTGGTTACATGTTTATTTTCTTCTTGCCCCAGTTTTTGAAACGCAATATCAGTTTTTGCACATATTATTGAAGCCATTGTATGACTTGAGTGAGTTATTAATAATTATTTGACTTTTGATCAGTAGTCTCTGCACAGTCAAAATAAAGGGAAATATAATTGTTGCTGAAGAGTTTTTTTATAATAAATATTATAAATATAGATTTACAAGCATCTGAAGATGAATTAATTAGCAATTTTAGATGTTTAATTAGCAATAGCAAATGTTACTATTTGTCACATAGAAAGTTATGTAAGGTCTCAAAGTAAAGGAAAGTAATTTACTCTCCTCACTTTTCCACCTATTACTTTCTTTAACCTTTGAACTTCCATACACAGTGTAAGAGTTCCTCCACTTAGTTCACAGTTGTCTTCCCCTTTGCTTCAGCTGGGGAGATATGCAACTTCATTAATGCTTCCACTATGCTTAGAGGCACCAACTTGTTCAGTTATTTGGCTATGAACATTTTGCTTTTCTGTGTCTGTTATTCTTGAATAATTTTTGAATGAAGGCCTTCAGACGAGTTAAGCAATTGGAGCATGATCCACTATCTTAGAGCTAGAGTCAGGTAAATGGTCAACATTTTTGTTCATGTATAAAGAGAAGTGTACTGATTCTATTATATATAAGATCGGAGAGATTCTATGAGTGCATTGGCTGAAAAAATTTGAATGAGATGCGTTGTGCTGGAGATGTTTGTCGTGTGTAGGACACATGCCTGCCTGCAACATAAAGAAAACAAATATTTATATGAGATCAGCAAATACTCAGTAGTAGCTAGTATGCCTTAGATAAACAGATACTCGATAATAGTCGTCATAAGACAGATCTAATCTTCTTTGCCTTTATGGTGAGGGCTGACGGATAGTCAAGAAGAATATGCATATAAATTGATGTGGTACTTCACTAACTTGGTCATATCAATTTTGTCAAAGGCGCATGGTGCAAAAAAAAGTGCTCGCTCGAGTGAAGTAAGGCGCAAAAAAAGAAGAGTTTTTGACTCCTACTTCATGTGTTTTATTCTTTTTTGTCTATGTTATAATATCAAGCTGAATTGAGATTGAAGTTCACACAAGAACTAGTTTTAACTGGCCCTACCAACCTTTTCAATAAGAAAACTTCTAAGCATAGAAAGTTTGATGTGCTGGATAAATGTGCAATAAAAGGATCATAAACTAATTTCCAAACTCCTAAACTTTCTTTTTCTTCATTGAAACTTGATTTATCATTTAAATAGCCAAAGGATGTTACTGGTTTGACATAGTCATCAATGAATTCAAATATTGTAATTGTATCTTAGATTTACCTTTGAAGATTAATTAATTTAAAACCACTAGATAGGTTGTAAATAAGTTCAAGAAAGCCTAAAATGACAACTACTTTATTGGTGAAACACAACAAGATTCCTTGTTGTTCTTCTGCTACTTATCTAATCATAACTCAGAAATAGTCATTACTCTTTGCGATGTAATGCTGAAACATAGAAGAGGTGAGCGCAAAATGCATGCCAAATTAACCTTAAATTGGTAAAACTTGGATTGTTTGATTTCTTTCTCTATATAGTTGGTTTTTGATTGGATGGATTTTAATTATGTGTTTTGTGATGAAACACAGCGATTCTTGTTGGTTCTAGTGTTTATTATTAGTGACATTGGAGAATCTATTCCCATAATACATTTACTCTTATGCATACATATTTTTGAGTTCCTTGTGCTAATAGAATTTTAAGGTTCTTGTATTCTTAGTTTTTGACCTCACCTTTAAAATTTGTTTACTTGTTGAAATACTTGATTTTGGTGTTAGAGATTTTGCTCGCAGCTCCTCTGACTGCATCCTTAAGATTTTCCTTGCAGAGAAGTCAAACTTATGCCAGTCAATGATTTGTTATTGCTTCTTATGGTTTCAGGCAATCAGGAGTAATGCAACTACCGGTGTTGCTGAAATTCCTCCTGACTTGGTGAACCCAGGTGCAGTTGAGTTAGTTTCGGACATACAACGAGAATATGCCACAAAGCTAGAGCAGGTAATTTTTGTTCTCTGCAAGTGTCTTCTACGTGCGATTGAAACACATTTTTCCATTATGCTACTTACACAGACACATGTACACGTGTGTTAGTGAGATAAAGTCTGCAAATGGCTTGAACAGTCAGCTTCTTTTTTGTTGGTCAGTTACTTTTATCGTTGTTAGAGTAGGAATGATGATATGATTATATAGCATTTAGAGAGATGCAGATGAAATTTGAGTTAAACTGATGTGTTAGAGAAGGAGAAGGGGGTGTCCTGATTGGAGTAAGGGGATTCCTAATAAATCTATGATGCAGAAAATGATTGAATGGAATGATCAGGGTAAGAATGGATATAGAGAATGTAATGAAACAAAGTAATGAAGAAACATTGAAGTGTTTAAACATCCCTAAAAAGGTTAGGGAGAATTTAAATTTATTCTTTTCAAATATTCTGATAGTTGTGAATTGTGATTAGACTGTGATCTTGTCACAAGTCTAAAATTCCATGTATAGAACCTTGATAGGTTGATCTTTCTAAATTTGCAATCATAGCAACATGCTATGCTAAATTGAGCATCTCTTTTATGGCTATGTTAGCAGCCTTATATTAAACTCAAGGTCAAGGGGCACATCATAGAAAATAACCAAAATATTCAATATTTTGAACTATCAAGTGCTTAATGCTTAGGGCATGAGTTTCGAATAAGTATAATTTCTCATGTGTATCATATGGATTGCTTAATCTAGTAAGAAAAGACATTTGTAATTTTCTTGTTACCTAGTTTCTATCTAAAAGATAAGTCAATATTGCTGGCATGTGTGTGATGTCATATCTTTTGAACTCTTATCTTCGTTTCTTGGTAAAAACTATTTTACCTTCTTAATTAAATAAGGCCTTCTAGAGTTTATATTTTCCTATTTCCTTTTACTTGCAGTCCCAAGAACGTGCCAGACAACTTCGAACTGACCTCGCTGTAGAGGAATACCGTGGTATGGAGCTTAGTAGGATCCTGAAGGAAGTGCTTCCAGATGCCAAAACTCCTAGCACAAAGAAATCCCGTTCAGGAAGAAAAGTAGGCATTTATAGTTTTCAGACTAAATTTTCTTACATGATTTTTCACACTTCACCTATAGGAAGGCAATCTGTGTGCTTATTCATGCCTATGATTGTTCAGATGAAGGTTATACTGAATAAACCAGTAATATTGGAAGAAAAACATTTTCCAGATTTTTATTTTCATTTCAGATAAGCTTTTCTCAATTTATTGGGTTTGTTAACCAAGAGAAATCATTTCATTTTGTTCTATAAGTATGCACTTTCATTTATATAAATCTCATTTTTAGTTGGAGCAAGTTTCACTGCAGTTTACACATATTGCATCATTTAGGAATTTTAGATAATGATTCATTGTGATATTCCTATTTTTTTAAATGTTACTTCTAAAGATTCAATGATGAGTGATTGCATAGTATTAGTTTGTGCGAAAGATATGCGTGCAAAATACTTGCATTAGTTCATTGATCCTTATAGTTGAAAATTTCCAGATAATTTGCATATATGTTAGTGTTTTAAGTTTGCTTCTTTGCTTGCTCTCTTATCAAAATGAATTCTATCTAAATATGGTGACAGTCCAGTATTGAGAGAAGGAAGATCTCAAAATGTCTAACCGAAGATGCCCTCGCCTATTTTGATGAGTGTGTCTCACTTTCAACATTTGATGGCTCTGACTTCTCATCACTAGAAGATCCACCACCAAAATTAGTTGGAGTTGGCAACCTAGATGGTGACGGCATATCTTTGCTGCATGCAAATTCAAACATTCCAGGCAGCAATTGTCCTAGCAATTATCTCCATGACAAACAGGTTAGTTTTTCATAGATTGGTATTTTGCTTTTATGTTTTTTCTTACATTATTTTTAAAACCAGATGGTTGGACTGATCAACAAATCAAATAGCTTTGAGGCTTGTGTTTGTCAAAACTCATTTTCTCCAGCCCTTCTCTTTCCTCTTTTTATTTTTTAAGATAAGTATCATGTATCTTGTGTTTGGTATGGCCTTTTGACAAAATAACAAATGTGAAAGCCACAGAATCTCATAAAGAACATAGTTGTGTGCAAAAGGGGGCATCCTTAAGTGTTCCCATTTGATCTCACTCTATATCTCATGTGGGATGCTAACGGGGACCCAACACATCGACGGAAATTCCATGATTCAGATAAAATGTTAAAAATTGGTTTGCCTAGAAATTTATTACACTGAATTCACCCAAATTCATATTGGGTCAGAAAAAATGGTTAAGATAAGCTGTCATAGGATTACAACACCGCTAAGGACTCAGTTTATTATTAACTTTCCTTATAGGTTTTTATTAAGATATATTTTTGACAATCTTCATATTTAAAAGACATTGATGCAGAATATTTTTCAAGTTGCATTTTGACCTGTACCTTTTGTTTCCTGTTTTTTACTGCTTTACAATCAACTAGTTAAAAGTTCCTGTCCTACGCATTTGTGTTTGATTGGGGTGTGCTGAACCATATGACATCATATTGTTAGCAAATAATTGGCCTAGTAAAATTGCATTTGGGATTACCTTTTTGAGAAACGAAGTGGGTTCTTTAGCTGGTGGGCATCTGTTGCATTCTTAATCTTCTAACTTCTTTTCCTGTCTTCTTTCTTTGGGATATCTTAAATAAGATTTTGGTTGTTTGGACTAGAGTAGAAATTCTTCTAAACCTTTTCTGTATTTTTTTTTTTACTGAATTAATTTAAAAAAAAAAAACTAGAATAGGTTTTATAACATGATTCCCCTGATTAGTTTTGCTTTCTTTGCACTGGCCGAAATGTTGAAATCAGACTATTTTGATAGTCTTACTTGCCTGTGTTTTTACTTTTGCTCTTGTACTTTTATATTGATCCTTCTAGAGGCTTTGAAAGTTTAAGGAGAAGAAAATGTGAAAAAACATAAATTTGTACTTGAGGACAACAATTTTAAAAATCATGTAGGTGTGATCATGCATGATTGAAATGTTATCCATATTGTCAAAAAATCATAATCTCTCTATGTATGCAGGAATGTCAATTCACATACAACCATGATCCTTTCGATTTAACAGCCAGTAATGGTTGCATGGAGCAGAGTCGAGATCAACTCAGTCTGAACAGTAGTGACGGAGAATGGAATAAAAACTTCAAGTTTTCGTTTTCTTCCAAGCCAGGTCAGATATGTGAGCTCCAACAAGACATTAAAAAGTATGTCAAAGGTTTTGAGAAGGACAAACGGAAGATTGACATTGATTCACAGATTACATCAAGAAGTAGCTATGATCCGGCGGAATACAAATTCCAGGCCTCACAACAAAGTTTGTTGTTTGATCATGTGTTCCTTAAAAACAGGTTAGAATCTGGCAGTTTGCTACTCTGCAATGGTGGATGTATTGCAACTTCATTTTTGCCTTTTGCTTCTGTAATTTAAATGTCAAGTGTTTTCATTTTCATGCTTGAAATATCAACATAGGACTCTAAGCATAAATAACTTAGTGCCATATAATTGGTGAGTATTAATTAGCATGACCATATATTGTTTTTTTCTTCTTTGTAAAAGTTAAGAAAGCATTTTAACTTTTTGATAATTGGATCTTTTACAAAAAAAAAAAAAGTGTTGTTTTAATTATATATATATATTTATTTATATTTATATTTATAATAAGAAGCATTGTAACTGAAAATTTGCTCTTATTGATTGATAGTACATTATTCTTATGTTGGGGTTGCCATTTCTGAGCAAATACTGTATCAATATACATTTAACCTCAGTATTTAAGTAGTGTTGGTGGGGATACCCATAATGGTTATGTACTCCGAATACTTATCTAATCAAAGGTGCAATAACACTATGATGGACTAATAACTTGATCATAGTGTAAATCATTATCATTTCTTTAATAAAAATGGTATCTTTGCTTTGCATTTAAATGTCAGTCTTCGGCTTGATACAAATATATACGAATATTTAGATGTTCGTATTTTGTAAAATTCTTGATAGAAAGAGTGTAGAGTTTTGGGTATTAATACTTCCGAGAAGATTTTTTATTAAATGTAAAATTTAGGTCATAAAAATCGAATAATTTTTGAATACGTGATTTTGTTTTAAATGTAAATCATATTTAAGATTTCAATTCTATAGGCATTGGTAAAATTTAATTTATTTCTGTAATTTTTATTTTACATATATATTTTATGTAAATATATGTTTTCTTCCAGTAAGGTATTGGTTAATAAATTAAGATCTCATTTTTGATAAAAGAGAAAATTATGTTATACTTTTTCAGCTTGTTACGTATCTATAAAGCTATATTATACGAATTTGTAAATTAAAGTAAATATTAAATTGACATGAAACAATCTTATAAATTCATTTCTTGGGTTTAAAAATCTATTATCACTGTATATATAGAATAATACTATAATAAAAATATATTACTACAAGCAATTAAAAGATACATAAACATGAAATCTTGATCCAAATTCATATATGATCTGAAAATATCTAAATTCATATACAAGCTTGGATCCATTTGTTAAATGCTTAAATTTAAATTCAAAAAATTAATTTGTGATGTTGAAAGTCATATTAATATATATTCGATGTAAGGATTTAGTTTATACATACGATATTTCACGTATTTACAATTTAAATAATAATAATAATATTATTATATCGTATTTTACTTTTTACATTAAAAAAGAATTAAATTATGGAATAAAAAGTTTCAAAATTTTGGACTTCAATATTTCCTTAAGAAGTTAGAAAGGATTACTATTAATGGTAGAGCAAACCTTGGATGCCCTCATCCTTTTTTTTTTTGGGTTTCCTTGCAATGTAATTTAGGTGAACTTTGAGGGCATTGACCATGCTGCCCCCGTTCTCCACAGACAGACCAGAACAGAACTCCAGTTTGATTCAGTCACAAACGAAACCCATAAAAGTAACTGACATGCACGAGTGTGATTAGAAAAGTTTAAGTGCTTTTAAGCCAGTTTGATTCATAAATATGATTATATGAAAAGATTTGGAGATGGGGATGGATTGGACAGACGCACAGATTCTTCAAAACATAATAAAATTGCCAGCCAAAGTGACCAACCCCTATTGGCAGCATGGCTGGACACTCGAGCCAAGTGTTAGTGCCCTTCTTTTTTCCTAAATTAACTCATATGGTTAACTTTTAACCCCACTCAATGGTTTACTACATTTCTTTTTGCACTTTCCATTTTTTTCCTTCTCTCTCTCCTTGTTTTGGTAAACAACTTTTGGTTCCCCACAACCCAAATCATCATCATCATCAATATATATATATATAAGTAGAGTCTCAGCAGAGAAACAGACAATTAAGACTTGAGAATAGAAAAAAGAAAAAAACCCTCTTCTTATTGTGTTGCCAAAGCCAATCTCTTACGTTTATACTTCACATTGTTTATAAAAGGGAAAAGAAATGAAGAGGTCTCCAACTTGTTCTTCTTTTAATTCTTCCTCTGCCTTATCTCCTTCCTCATCTTCTTCCTCATCATCTGACTCTCCTCATAATATTCTACCAGAGGAACCAAAGCCTAAAAGGGCTAGAAAACATCAAAACTCTGTTCAGAAATGCAGCTTGGATGCTAACAGTCCAAACTCTAGCAGAAGAAGCTCCGTTTATAGAGGAGTCACCAGGTTTATTATTTATTATTACATAAAAATTTAAAGGCAAAATATTGGTTTTGGTTTGATTTGCATGTCTGGTATTTTGATTGATATCTCCTGTAACATTCAACATTTCAACATTCAAACAGGCATAGATGGACTGGGAGGTTTGAGGCTCACCTTTGGGACAAGAGTTCATGGAATAACATTCAGAACAAGAAAGGAAGACAAGGTAAATTCAACTTTTTTCTAGAAAAAGAAATAGTAAAAAAACAAAAAAGAGATATTCAAGGAGATCTATAATCTCTGTTTATTATCTTACTTTTAAAAGTATTTTATGGGTTTTTTTTAGTTCAGTTCAGAGTACTGACTTTATTGTTTTTTTGTTCCTTTTTTATATCTGCAACGTGCATTTTACGATTCTGTCGCCTCCTCAGTTTATCTGGGTAAGTCCTTCACTCTCTCTTTCTCTTTAAAAATTTTTATAATCAGTAATATATTATATTCTTATTTTAATTCCTTTTTATTTAATTTAAAGGATTTTTTTTTTTTTTTTGTAAAATTGTGACATTGGCAGGGGCTTATGACAGTGAGGAGGCCGCAGCTCGAACGTATGATCTCGCCGCACTCAAGTATTGGGGCCCCGATACCACCTTGAATTTTCCGGTATTTAATTAATAAAAAAATAATAATATAAATTACTTTTTTTTTTCCATTAATTGACGACGAATAAAAAGGTGCAATTGTGAAGATATGTGATGACTAATGAATGCAGATAGATAGATATGAGAAAGAGATTGAAGAAATGAAGAAGGTATCAAAGGAAGAGTACTTGGCATCCCTTCGGCGGCGGAGCAGTGGATTTTCAAGAGGAGTTTCTAAATACCGTGGGGTGGCTAGGTTGTTTAATTGATGCCTCTCATTTTTCTTTTTCTTTTTTTACCATTGCATTGCATCTCATCTGCTATAATGAAAGTAGGTTTTCTTTTTTATGGATTAAAGTGTGTTAGGGTTGAATCTAATTGTGTGAGTTAATAACAGGCATCACCACAATGGAAGGTGGGAAGCTCGAATTGGCCGAGTCTTTGGGAACAAATATCTCTATTTAGGAACTTATGGTAAGCCCCCAATTTTTACTTGAATTTATCAGCGGCCCCATTCTTTTTCTTTAATTACCTTTCGACCATAGAAATAATGCTATTAGTATACATGTGTTACGAGACACATTTCAAAACTCCTCCACATAAACCAGGCTTCTGCAATTAAATTCCCAACAGTAGATAGATCGTGTGAGTTAGGATGGATCTGGCTAACAATGTTTAGAGCGTCTTCTTCCAGTCCCATATTTTTTGCAAACACTATTGCTTTGACTGCAGCAGTTGCTCCAAACACCAAAGGATCCATGACTCCAGGTCGGCCTAGTTTGAAGAGCTTCTCCCAGCTGGTCAACCTCCATAAATAGGTTCTGTTTCACTAAGTGTTCTCTTATTGGAAGCTGAAATTGCTTCTACGTTCCCTTTCCCTGCAAGCAAGCCTTTCTTTTCCTACTCTGCTTTCTACTAACCTTCCTCTCTTCAACTGCTGCCACTAACGTGCTTGTGCTGTAACTTTGATACACCGCTATCACTAGCGCTTCGCTGTCAATCCTTCATTCGCACCTGGCACCAAATCCATTTCTCCCCAAAATCATACTTACATGGTATCTATTTTATTATCCTGAAGGAATTCTCTTAACATTTTATGTATAGTGTTTGCATTTCGGTTTTAATTAAATTAATCGGTTGAATTTAATTAATTAAAATTTTAATCGAAATATAAGAATCTTAAATATAAAACTAAACATAATGAAATGGACCCTTTTTTTATAATTGAGGTTCATTTCCTGATTGCATATAAAACTGCCAAACTGAAATTGCTGAAAAATATCAAAAAAGGGCATTGATAAAAAAAATTGATAAAAGTTTTGAACTAAAGAATTAAATATATTTTAACTTTTATTGGTGAATGGAAAGTTTAATTTTTAACTATTTACTTATATTTTTAATCAAACACAATTTGGTTGGTTTTTGGGCATTTATTTTTCTTTGAAAACAACTTTAAAAAACAAAAGTAAATCTGGGCAGAAAAATACAAAATCAAATAAAAAGATATTTGAGTAGGTCCAATTTTGAAGGTGATTAGATGCCAACTCAAACCCATCTGCATCAGTCATTCATGAATTATGATAACAGCTGGTTTACATAAAAAAAAAATATTGGTTAAAAGTCAAAGTTTTGTAGAATGGCATTTCTGTAATTAAACAAAATATATGTGTCTTAATTTACACCCATTTTTCTATCTGGATAAAGTAGTGGCAGAATGGCACGTGACCTCACTCTCCCTACAGGAGATTCATTTGCAGTAGTCAGAGGCAGCAGAGATCACGTGCCTTAGGGGAAGGTTGGGTTTGGCTTTAGGTGAGCTGAATGCCTAATTCCATTATCTTAAGCTTAGCTGGCCTATAGTGATTAGTATAATTGTGAAGGTTTGGGGACTAGTTTTTATTGGCCTAGAATCTTTCTTTGCTAGTCAAATTCATGGATTTTGTTTTAATTTTTATTTTTATCTGTCATTTTGGTTAGAAACTCAATCAAATTTTATTTTTTATTTTTATCTAGCATTTTAGTTGATAATTTTAGATTTGAAAATTTATATAGTTGTGCTGAGTTTTTTTTTTTTTTTTTTTTTTATGTAAAATGTGTAAAATGTAAAAATTATTGTCATAATTTTTAAAAATATATTAAATACGAAATATTTTTTTATTTTTGTTAAATTCATAATTTTTGTTAAAATTTTAAATTTTATCACTTTTATATATTTTTTTATATCACGTGATTGTGTTGTGCTTAAAATAATTAGGTTTAGATAATTTAGATTGCTAGATTTAGATTGGTTGAGGTTTAGTTCACTAATAATAAAGCTTTATTATTTTTTCTCCTCATTTCCTTCCAATTTCCGAAGAACATTGTCAATTGAATACGGACTCTTTATCAACTTTTCAACTGCTTTAGGATAGAAGGAAACACAAGAAAGCTACGGGGGCCTTTTTTTTTTTTTTTTTTCTTCATTAATAAAATTTAGTCAATCAGGGCAGTAACTAATTAAGAATTAGTGTCGGCATGTGAACCCGTAATTGTATCTTTACCTATTATACTTAAAGTTTGATCCATTTTAATTTCTTGTTAAATATCATAGTAAAGTTTTATTTTCCTAATTTGTTTATTTGTGTCTGATTTTATTGATTAATTATACATTTATTTGTTTTTTTATACTTTTTGTTTTGAAGACACACAAGAGGAAGCAGCAGCAGCATATGATATGGCAGCACTGGAGTACAGGGGGACCAATGCCGTGACCAACTTTGATGTTAGCCATTACATTGAACGTTTGAAGCAGAAAGGAATTTCATTTCTAGATCAACCGCAAGAACAAATTCCAGACACGGCAGCAGAAGTCGAACAACCACAGCAGCAGCAGCAGCAACAACAACAAGAACAACAACAGCAACAAAGAGAAGAAGCTCACAAACCTCAACATTTCCAGTACATGCCAATGCATCTCCCTCTATGTGTCGACAATGCGACAATAGCTGGTATGGAGACAACTGGTAGCAACGAGCTAGCATGGAGTTTCTGCATGGATTCAGGGTTGACATCATTTTTGGTTCCGGACTTCCCTCTCTTAAAAACCGATGAATTACCAAACTTGTTCGATGATACAGGGTTTGAGGATAACATTGACTTAATATTCGAGGTAGGGCCTAACCAAAATGAGGCCAACCGGGAATGCGTGTCGGGTTATGCAAGTTCTGGTGCCATGAACATAGAAGAAGATAATGGGAAGGAAAGGTTGTTGTCTTCTTCTTCTTCTTCTTCTTTGGCTGATTCTCCATATTCCTTAACAACCTCAGTTTCTTGTAACTACTCTGTCTAATGTTTTTGCATTTTGGATTAAGAGTTGGGAGTTTGTTGTTGGAAATCTGTTGTGGGTGGGTGGAGGATGGATGCCAAAGATTCAAAATGCCTTTGTTTTTTTATGCATTTCCTTCCTTTAATTAAATTAAATGGAAAAGAGAAAGAGGGACAAAGGGGGTGAACTTGAGACTTGAGAGTTCTTCACCTGTTTTTTTTTTTTTTTTAATCCCAACCAATCAAATATTACATGTGGGCAATGTTAAGAACAGTCATATTAAGAACGGCAAAAAAAAAAAACTTAGTAGATCTTCGGAAAATTTTCTTTCTAGACTGGGTTTTTTTTTTTTTTAAATCAAATTGCATATCATTTATTCATGAATAAAAAATGTATGAACGATTAGCTTGTTACAACCGTACAACTTTAATTTTATCCTAATCTCTATATTATAGTTTGTAATGATATAAATTAACATACTTTGTAATTGTTGTAATATTGTGAATTTTTTTCGTTAAAATTCTTGTAAAATTATAAATAGATCATTAATTTACTTTTAAAAAAATTACTATACCAACAAATGCTAAAATAAATTACTATAACAAAAGACATAATTTTATAAAAATCAAGTTAACAGTTAAGATTTTCAATTCTAATATGCAACGGCGTTATTACTGATAAGACATCTCCTTCTGATACAATTTCGTTAAAGCACATCTCTTTAGCAAAGTTCAGCGTTCGAATTGCAGCAGTTGCTTCAACAATAAATGAGTTTGCAATCCACGACACTCTGTCACTGTCTGCACCCATGCTTTGGCCCTTTGCATCCGTGATTATCGCTCCAATTCCTTCCAGTTTTCGATCCTTGTCCACTGCGTCATCAAAATTCACCACGTAGGAACCATTAGCTGGAGTTTTCCATCTCTGATCATGCCATGTGTCCACCCTACACGGCTGCTGTGCTGTGCTGTCCTTCTAAACTTAAAAACTTTCTTGTTTATATTTTTAAATTAACTAAAATAACAAAAACCACGTAAAAAAATGTAACTGAAATTTTTAACAATTTTATCAATTAAATGGAATTTAAAAAATGTACGGAACCCTAGACTTGAAATAAAGTAAGAGAGCACTCATTAATGAACTTAAAATTAAAAAAAAAAAGAAAAGAAAAAAAGGTTAATCAATTTTCGAAAAAATTAAATCCTGAAAATTAAAAAAATAAAAATAAAAAATATTTTGATGGGCAGAGCTTTAGGGCTTTTTGTTTTTTAATATAAAATAGAATCTTGGTAGAAATTTTTTTTAAGTATATTTTATTTTATTATTATTTTTTATCCACGAAAAAAATACCCAAAACACTCGAGAAATCAGTAACCTGTTAGGACGTGGCTTTATTTTATTTTAAGTATATAGAGTTGCCGGTTCTAAACCCAAAACGTGATAGGACATGGCTTCATAACAATTCAAGTGTCCAAATGCGTGTGCCTTTGTTACTGCTGTTAGCATTCGTCGTTACATTTTGATAAGGTTAAAGTATTAAAAAAATCTTTAAATTATTTAATTTTTTAAAAATAAATTTTATATTTTTATATTTATTTAAATTAATTTTTATTTAAAAAATTAATTTATATTAAAAATTTATTTGTATGCAAATAAAAATAAAACATTTATTTGAATATAATAAAATATAAAAATTTATCGAAATAAAATAATAAACAATAAAATAAAAGAATTTTTTTTTGTTATTTTAGCTTTTTTATAACTGTGCAATGTGCATTACCCTGTTAAATGAATTAAATATTCCATAAGGAAAAAAGAAAGCGATCAAAATACCTCTTATTCAAGACTTGGATTTTCTTGATTAACTAAAGTTTCTTTTGTTTCGTAAAAATTAGTTTTTAAAAAATAATTTTTAGAAAATGTTTATATTTTTTGAATTAAAAAAATTTTATGTTATTTGAATAAAATAAATGAAATTTTTTTTTTGTTATTTAGTTTTTTTATGAAAAATTTACTTTTTTTCCAATAATATTAATATAATTATTATAATATTAAAATTATTTATTATTAAAATATATTAAAATTATTTATTATTAAAACTATTAATATTAAAAAATAATTATATTTTAAAAATATTATTTAATATTAAAATATTATGTTAATATAAAAATACTTAAAATAAAACTATTTATTATTCTTTTTATTATTTATTAAATATTATAATATTATTTATTAATAATATTAATAATATATTATTGATTAATAATAAATTATTTAATAATATAATATTATTTATTAATATATTATACTATTATTTCTTATTTATTACTAATATATTATTTATTGATATATTATAATATTATTATTAATATATTATTTATTAATATATTATAATATAATTTATTAATATAAAATTATTTATTTATTAATATAACATTATTTATAAGTAAAATTATACTAAAAAATATTAATAAATAATTTTCTTCATAAACATTTTTTTCAAAAAAATGTCTTATTCTTTTTATCCATAAGATGATTTTAAAAAAATGACTTCATTTTTTATTGATTAATAATTATTTTTCATTGAATAGTCAATTTTTTTATCAAATAAATACTTAAAAATATAAAAAATATTTTTTCATTCAAATAGACGGAACCTAAATGATTTACAAGCTTATTGCTTCCCAAAAATGATAGACATGATATCTAGTTTAATAATTATTTTTAAAAACACTCTCTTTTATTTATTATAAAATTTAGGAATGTGAACCTCTCCTAAAACCGACGAAAAACTTTCAAACCTGATGGAATCTCGATTCTTCATTTCGATGGGAGCGGATATGGGGATTAAAAATTTGGGGTATGTCACTGTCTGCACCCATGATTTTGGGCCTTTGCATCCGTGATTATAGCTCCTATTCCTTCCAGTTTTCGACCCTTGTCTACTGCGTCATCAAAATTCACCACGTAGGAACCATTAGTTGGAGGTTTCCATCTCTGATCATGTCATGTGTCCACCCTATACTGCAGCTGCGCTGTGCTGTCCTTCTAAACTTTCTTGCTCAATTCAGGGACAATTTTTTATATTTTTAAATTCACTAAAATAACAAAAACCGCATAAAAAATTTAACTGAAAATTTCAACAATTTTATCAATTAAATGGTATAAAAAACTATCGGAACTTTAGACTTGAAATAAAGTAGTAGAGCACCCATTAATGAACTTAAAATTAAAAAAAAAAAAAGTCAATCAAGTTTCAAAAAAATTAAATCCTGAACATTAAAAAAATAAAAAAAAAATATTTTGATGGGTTGAGCTAAGCTTTTTGTTTTTTAGTATAAAATCGAATCGGAAAGATTTTCTTAAATATATTTTATTTTATTTTATTTTTTATCAAAAAAATCCAAAACACTCGAGAAATCAGTAACCTGCGAGGTCGTGTCTTTATTTTATTATTATTATTTATTTTATTTTAAGCATATGGAGCTGCCGTTCTAAACCCAAAACGTGATGGGACGTGGCTTTATAACAATTCAAGTTTCCAAATGCGTGTGCCTTCGTCATTGCTGTTAGCATTTGTCATTACAATTTGATGAGGTTAAAGCATTAAAAAAATCTTTAAATTATTTCATTTTTAAAAATAAATTTTTATATTTTTATTGTATTTAATACATTTTTGTTTTTTATTTGTATTTAAATAAACTTTTATTTTAAATAAAATTAATTTATGTTAAAAATTTATTTAAATATAAATTAAAGATTAAAATTTTTTAATATAAATTAAATTTTAAAAATTTATTTGTATGTAAATAAAAAATAAAAAATAAAATTTATTTAAATAAAATAATAAAATTAAAGAAATTTTTTGTTATTTTAGCTTTTTTTATAATTATGCAATGTGCATTATCCTGTTAAATGAATTAAATATTCCATAAGGAAAAAGGAAGCGGACAAAAAGGCCACCTATTCGGGACTTGATTTCCTTGATTAACTAAATGTTTTGGTCTAAATCTAAGCACAATTACAAGCTTTTTGCTTCCCAAAAATGATTGACATGCTATCTATATCAATAATTATTTTCAAAATAATTTTTTTTTAAATTATGGTAAAATTTAAGAACGAGAATCTCCCCTAAACCCGACGGAAAACTCGATTTTGATGAAATCTGGATTCTTCATTTCGATGGGAGTGGGTTTTGGGATTAAAAATTGGGCACGAAATGAGAGAGAATCTTTGACAGAGACAAAAGTTAATTTATTGGATGGAGACGAAGACAAGGAACATGATTCTTGTCGATATGTACATGAGTGCTCCTAAAAGCAATTTCATTTTTCTTCGTATTTTAATTTTTTTTTAATTTAAAATGAAATTATTTAATTATTTATTTATAATATTTTGAAATTTTATAGCATTTTAAAAATAAACTTTGGAAAAAATATAAAATTTTTCAAAAAAAATTAAGTAAAATTATAAATCTTTGTAAAAATAGATTTAGAAAAAGTTATAAATCTTTTCAAAAATGTAACTTTTTGAAATGTCTATAATTTATTTTCAAGAAATTATATGATTTTTTTAAAAAAATTCATTTATGAAAAGATTTATGATTTTTCAAAAATTCATTTATGAAAACTTGTGTGAAAGAAAAAGGATAATTAAATAATTTTATTTATAAAAAATTTTGGAAAAAAAAAACTGTGGTATGGAGAGAAAATGTTAGGATACATTTAATAACACTCTATATATATATTTATTTATAATTAAACAAGATATTTTTGTATATTTTATTTTAGACTATTGTATTTATGAAATGAAAAAATAACACATTAAAATTATCTAATATAAAATTGAAATAAGTATAATTTGATAAAAATAAAATTAGAATTTTATTTGTTGAATTTTTATAATTTGGATTTCCATTTGAGGACTAACCCCATTATTCACCATATCAACGAGCAACGTCTCCGCTTCCTTGAGCCTCCCACGCGACCAATGACACTTGATTACTGATGTGTAAGCAGCCATACCTTTCTTCTTCATATACTTCAACGTATCGAGTGTTAACTCAGGCTTATGCGCCCTGCTGTATACACGTAAAACGATTGAAATGCCGGTTATATCAGGTTCAATCCCTCGTTGTCGCATTTCGTCGAACTGTTTCTCGGCATCCCTTATTGTTCTGTTAAACCGCTCATCGAGATGCAAACTGACTGTTCTACAAATACCGTTTAACATCACATGGTAAGTGACAACATTGGCTTCCATTCCTCTTTCCATCACATCCTTACAAAACCTCTCTGCCTTAACGGTTCGGCCAATCTTGCACCATCCGCTTATGAAGACACTGTACATTTTTGAATCAACCCGAAACCCAGATTTCCTTTTGTTAAAAATCTCAACAGCCACCTTGACGTAGCCGTCCTTGCAGAGTGTGTCGACTGTCGAGCAAGAAACAGAAGCAAAAAGAACTGTTTTGATAAAGCTGTCCGTGTCGTTGTCAGCAGTAAAGAAACGATCCCATATCATACTAGGCGCGAAGGGCATGACGGATAAGGCGCGCGGCAATTAAGCGACGGATCAAAATCATGAAAGTGGAGGAATAGTGAGGAATGTTTGATTGATCCATTTCGATAGTGAGCTGCCAAACAACATCGAATTGGAGGACTTTGCAGAGAAAGTCACTGGTGAGGTTGTAGGTGGCGGAGAGGAGGGAGGGATTTGGAATAAAGGAAGAAGGAGAGGGCAATTTTGGAAGAGTGTTGGTGACGGGGGAGAGTCAATCTGGTCGAGAAGGAAAGAGAGAGGGAGATCCCTCTGTCATCAATTGATGCCATGCATACAAAGTTGACTTGCTGTAGTCTCCAAGAATTACACGAGATCGATTTCTTAAAAAGTTTATCTGCATCACAGCTTCCACAACTCCACTTTTACATGAAACTAAAGTGTCTAGCATACAAGAACTTGCATCCACCACTCCACTACTCCATGTTGCCGTTCCTTGTATGACATGATCAAAGATGCAGATCTTATTCTACATTTTGATAATCTTCAACTCATACCTGTTCAAGATTTTAAACAGCAAGAGAATCTCATGCTCATCCAACTCAATATGATATTGAGAAAAATGACAGACAGCTGATCACAATCTCTTTTGTCCAGCAAGGAATGCAAGAACTTCATGAGATTTAACCATGTTTTCTCAGCTTCAAAAATGAAAAGGAGTCAAGGAGCTCATCGGCATCATTGATAATTCCAATGTGCTACTGTACATCATCATTGTTCATAGGTTAGAATCTCTACTCTCTTGTACTTAATAAACCAACTGATATTGGTAGTTCTTTAAAAAAAGATTGAGAATTAAAGCAAATTTAAACAGCCCCGTATGTTATAGCTAGAACATGCAAATTCAGACAAGCAAGAATCGACAACAAAAAGTGGCAATCAAACTGTATTCATTGATATTTTTGTGTATGTTTCTGTGTATGGTTCTCTTTGGTAATGCTAACTTACATTAAATGATTTGATAAGATACAACAACATAACTACAAACCTAATGTGTACTAATTCTATCCTTCGGATAGCAAACGATGAAAATCCGGAAATAAAGAATAATACTCTGCAGAAGCCTAAAGAACATGATACCTTACAAAAAGAAATAGGGGTGAAGGAGCAAAATCACCTTTTCAACTCCTTGGAGGGTCCAAGATTGGATTCATTTCTATTTCTACAGCTCCAGACTCAATTTGAGTCTGAAACTTTTCCGCTTCCCTTGCAATCTGAACATCGCAAGGTGTGTACAACTGATAAAGAACTTTCACAACAAAACGAGGAATTAGTGCGGCTACAATGATGGCAAGCAAACACAACCAAAACAATCTTGTCTTTGCAATTTCGAAGATGGCCCTGTCAAATCAAATTGGTTGCCAGAGGTCAGACAAAAATATACAACGAAAATTACAAAAATTCTCAAATTTCAGTGAATCAGTTACTCTAAATGCATACTTGGAGTAACAATTTTTATGGCAACTCATTAGCAGCGTAGAATCAACTGAGAACATTTTATACCATAAATAATTATTGCCATTTGCCTAAGATTAACAGGACATAGCTGGGATATTCTAACCTAAGGACAACTACTAAGTGCATGGAAACTCCCAAAACTTCGGGATGACCATGCATACATGCATGCTTGTTTACATATTCTCATGCGCATGTTCATACACACACAAACAGAAGCATATCTATATATATAGAGGTGGCAAAATAAACACACCCTGAAAATGCCTGAACACAATCTGATCCGAGTTGACTAAAAAGTCAAAGACAACCAAACCTAAAGAAACTCGAATCTGAAACAAACCAAATCCAGGGTAACCTAAACCCGAAATTATCCAAACCTAAAGAAATCCAAACCTGAAGTCTCAAACAAGCCCAAACCCATCCGTTTGCCACCTCTATATGATGTTTAACATAAATAGTTGTAGAACATACTGTTGATGTGTTAGCAAGCAAGGAAAAAACCTAATGTTTTAAGGAACGCTATGGTGAAAGTGTCATAAAAATTTATCTCAACATGTTTCATCACGTTCAACAAAAATCTACATGCTCACTTAAAGTAAATAAAACTACAGAAAATAAATCTGATAATAAAAGGGCTTACCAGTAACCAATTAAAGATGGTATAGCATCAATAATGATGACGCAAATGAAAGTTGCAATTATAGATCCCCATATGGCTGCATGAGTTATCCAATTCCACCGGATGACATCCATAGCCAAATGTAAATTAACCAATATAACAACAGCAAGAGTCCAAAGATCTCCTATACTTGATGCATCAATGGTGCTGCCCCAGTATGCAAGAAGAGGAATAAAAAAGGTAACTGCACTTTGCCAGAAAGCATCAATCATTGTTATCCAAAAAAGTTTTTTGTTGTAGCATTCTTGTTTGTGGCCGGCACCATACAGCTGAGGATACTTCAAAAGAGTCCTTCTACTTAGGTCCTTGTCAAGAACAGCAACAACAATCGTAGGAACTGATGTGTAGATTACAGAATACAACACACCGCTCCATTCACTGATTGCAGTGGTCAAAGTGAAACATGTAAAGAGAACATACCTGCAAAGAACATGGTGAAGTTAATAGTACTCACCCATAGACTAAAATTTGTTTTAATTGACCAAAATTTGATTCAACTTCCATTCTGAATCAGGAGCAAGTTATTATTTTGAACCAACTGAGATCAAAATTCAATTATCTTTATCCTAATTGAACAAAGGAAGAATTTTAATTTGTTATGTTTTAGGGGAGACAGGGTAGTTTAAATCACTAATACAAGAAGAGCGTACAAGTAAGAGATCAATCGGGTATATTTATAAACATGCAATGATGACATTTTATTGCCCCTTTTGGCCCAGTTAGTAAGTACCAAAAGATACACTCAATCTCAAGTGAAAATCAAGGTTTGCTTAAACCACCAACATGCTCAACCACTGAATGTAGGTTGACTATCTGCATTTAGTAAATGCACAAGAATAAATTATAGATTTGTGCAATAAGCAACCACCCCATCAAAAAATAACTCACCAAAACGAAACAAGGACAAACACTGCATTCCTGTAAAAATTGTATAGTATCATGTAGCCCATCCGCTGGTAATTCCAGTGGCCATGGACCAACAAAAGAGGAACTAAGAATCTGAACTGCCCCATCGCAAAATCTGATGCCATTACGGCTTGCCTACCCTCTTGGCCACTGATGCCAACTCCCACATCCGCCATTTGGATCATTGAAACATCATTAGCACCTGTCAAGTATCAACTAGTATTTCTTAAATCAGCCCAAACCACCAATAAAGAAAAAAGTAGATACAATTTGACAACATTACACTCTTTTCCCCCTTATTGATCATAAGATGATGATTACAAAATCAAGAGAATGATGATTACCATCCCCAATGGCAAGTGTCATGTCCAAAGTCCTGTTCTTTACAAGGGCAACGATACCAGCTTTTTGTAACGGGGCCACTCGACAACACAAAACCACAGAACAATTACAGGATAACTGGAAGAGCTGCAACCAAAGATGAAAAGATAAGTCACGTCAGCAAGCAGGATATCAGAAAGAGAAACAAGAAACAAAGGCTCGTCTACAACTCCTTACCCTTTCTTCAAGTTCACTGTCAAGAATATATACAAGGCTGGTACCATCAATAATCAAAGCTACTGGAGTTAAACCAGCTCTTGAAGTTCTTCCAGTGTTATTTGTAGTGCCTGATATAGTCGTGAATTTCTTACACATGATGATGGCATCTTCTAAACTCTTTCTGCATGACTCCTTAGAGTTGCTGTTAATTATAATTGGTGTCATTTTACTCGTCAAGAGCTTCGAGGAGTACCCAATTGATATGGCGGTTTCTTGCTTGTCCCCAGTCAACACCCAAACTTTGATCCCCGCTGTTCTAAGAGACTCAATAGCCTCTGGCACTCCTTGTTGAAGTTTATCTTCGATGCCTGAGGCACCCAGTAAATAGAGATTGTTTTCTATATTGTTTGCAACCTTCCGAAGCAAAGTGGTTCTACCCATTAGAGCAGCGCTTGCTGCCTCATACGCAGAGTGCCAATCCTCAAATTCTGAAGTACTCAGTTCTTTCATCCCAACAACAAGTGTTCTCAAACCCAATGAGGAATAGGAGTAAAGATGGGTTTCAGTTGTGTGTATAACATTTATTTTCAAAGATCTGTCTATGACACTAAACATGGACGTGTCAGCGCCTTTTACAAACACTTTAACAGATTTGTCAGGGAACCCCAATATAACAGACATCCTCTTCCGATCACTATCAAACTCGTGCAAACCCAAAACACTGAACCTGCATGGCCAGAAACATTTTTTTCAACAATGAAAAATAAATAAAATTAAAGTCCAGGAGTACAACACTGGCGCAACTATCAGCACATCTTTAACAGGTATTAATCATAGTAACAAAGTTATAATGGCATCTTACCCCCCCCCCCCCTCTCTTTTCTACAAAACCAAGAGAAATTTCAATGTCAATTCTTTAATCTTACAATATCTCAACCTTCAATGTCTCAAAATTTCAACAATAAAAGGAAAATAAAAGCATTGATATTATTTTTTTAGCTGAAAAAAAAAGAAAAAAGAAAAACACTGACACTAAAATAAGACAGGTATCACAGACTTTTCCCAAGCTTAGTACTTGGTAAATGTACGAAGTCTTTAAGTAACACCAAATAATCCTAATAACCTCAAATAATAAAAACATTATAATTGAGCCATAGCAAATAAAGTTCATAAAAGTTCAATAAATAATACTATATTTCTAAGGATCATGCTCCCCTACCATGAAATATAAGTTATTTTCACTTGTACAGGTTACAGACTTGTACAAACCATCATTCTTTTGGTGAAAAAGTAGTAGATGAAACTTCTAAATCGAAAGAAACTCACATATCTACTTTTTGGGATAATATGTCCCATAAAATTTTGACCCTCTAGAAATTCCTGTAATAATTGAAGCACCCTGTTCAAGCATTTACACTAAATACCAACACCAAAAACTCTTATTCAGTAGCAATCAAGGTGCTGATGCAAGCAGAGGTCATCATAACATAACAATATCACAGAAATGGTGGAAATGAATTCAAGAAAACATAAGTCAGCAGTTCATATTACCTTTGCCTTTCTCCTTGAATGCCAATAACAATATGGCCAGAGGTTCGTTCTATCAGCATAAATCCATATGCTGCAGCAGCATAAACCAATGCCTGTTCATCCGGAGACTCCCCTTGGTAATCTATCAACTTCACAGTAGGATCAGGTGTATCTAGGATTAGAGGCACAATTGTATTGCAAGCTGCGAGTGCAAGGAAGAAATCATGGATATGACCGCATTCTTTCATTTCCTTTCCACTCCTAGCAAATTGGAGAAGCTCTGGGTCAGTCTTTACCTTCATCTTAGGCCTCAAAACCTTCCCATCGACTGAGTTGAAAAAAAAAAAAAAGTTGAGTCAGAATAATGCTAAATAAACTGCAAAAAGGTTCCTTTCTAATACAGAAGTACTTGAAATATATTTGTTGTTTACCTTGGACAAAGTAACCATCTTCCTGATCTTGAGACATGGCCTTTCCGCCACTGTAATCTTTCCCCCAAATGCTTGCACACTGAAATTCCATCTTGTTCTCAGTAAGTGTACCAGTTTTGTCAGAGAAAACATATTTTATTTGTCCTAGGTCCTCATTTATATTCAAAGCCCTACACTGAAACCTTGATTGTGAAGACTCATCATACATCTGGGTATCTCCAATCATGAAGTAAGCCTGACCAACCCGGACTAACTCCATGGAAATATACAATGAGATGGGAATCATTGTCTGGAACACAATTACTGACATGAGGAATGTAAAAAATATTTCCAATCCCCATCCATAATAATTATAGTTATCTTCTTCCCCCCCAGAGAAGTGCTTTCTTCTGTAAAACGGCAAGTAATCCAACTTGTCCCTGTGGCGTCTCAACCAAACAGCAGCGCAGACAGAGACAACAGTACACAGAGCAATAAGAAACAGAGAGAGGAAGATGATCTCAAAGTTCATATGAGTCTCAAGCCGACTCCTCTTAGATGGAGCTCCTGAGCTGTTAAGCATTGCTTTGGTCTCACGGCCAGCATAGACAGCAACCCCAACTGCCCAAGCAGTAATTTTGAGCTCACAGCCACGAAGAATAATATTAGAGGGACCAAGTGATAGTCGTTTCCCATCAACTTCCATGTTAGCCTGAAACCCATAAATGTTCCTGTTAGGTTTCTCACACTTAATCAACCCAGTAACCTTCTCCTTTTCGGGAATCTTCAGAAGGGTCTCCTGTTTTGCATATCGTGTCTTCAAGTTGGACTCTCCATCCAAATTAATAGTCTGCACATATGCAACCCCAGTTGGATCACTAGTTGAGAGCAGCACCATATCACAAGGAATAGTTTCATTTGCCTGGATCTTGATTATCTCACCAACCTGAATGTTCTTCCATTTCTTTTGTTGAAATTGATCATTTACCAAAACTGATGCTAGCGTATTATTCTCAATCCTATCTGATCTATGCCGCCTGAAGTCCTCATATGCATCCTTAACTGCTGTAACCAGAAGGACAAATGTCAATGGCATAAATGAAGCCTCACGGCTAAATACTGCAAGCTGAGGCAGCTGATTAAGCACGACAATCACAAGGAAGTATGTATAGGCAACTCTATGAAACTGCTCAAACAAGTTCCTAGGCAAAAATGTTAGGATTGAGTACTTTCCAGTCTGAATGGAATTCCCAGCAAACTCAAACCTCTCATTTGTCTTGACAGGATCATTTATATGTACCAACCTAGCATCTTCATCATTGATCTCTTTCTGTGACGTGCTATACGTATCTGAATCAGCACCACGAGATCCATATCTCACAGGCTTTGATCCCAAATCACTAAAATTCACTTCCCTAATCGAATTTCCACCCGAAGCTTTGGATGGAATAGAAAAGTTGCTCCTTCTTGATGAGGAATTTAAGGCAGGTTCAACACTATACAAATTCTCAACTGGCGTTTTTGAATCCATCCCAAAAACAAATCGAGGATCCCTCTCAACTTTCTTCTCTTAGATGAGAGGAATATAAAAATACAGTAATAAAATCTACAGAAACCACTTTTGAGGCCATGATCTATGGATCAAAGACATCTGCAACAGCTCAAAGTCAACAAGTCAACAAAATTCATTAACTACCCAGATTATGATTTCAACCAAATTTGCTAAAAAACCAAACTTCAGAAACAGATACTAAAGAAGAAAAAAAAAAACAACCCAGAATTCCAATCAGCAGAGTAAAGAACTAAGTATACATATAAATATATGGTACAAATACAAATACAAGTACCAAGAAGAAAGAAAGAAAGAACCTTCTGTTTATGATCGTTGGTATATAATATTGAGCAGCTTCCAGCCCATGCCATTGAAAGGAGATGTGTGAATGCTGGTGCTTGGGGTTGGGGGGGTTTTCTTCTTTTCTGTTGTTGTTGTTGTAATGGCGTGTTTGAGAGAGTGAAATGTCCAAAGTAAAAGGAATTATAATATAAAGAGAAAAGGCGAACTTTACAACAAAAACTGAGGAAGGGTCTTAACGGGATGGCGACAGGGAAGGATCAAATTCAAATCTTATTTGACAAGGAAAATGAAGTCCTGGAATTTGGCGACTAGGGAGAAAAAGGTTCTTGGACAGTCACGTTTTATTTTTTTTATTTTTCTATTATTTGTTGAATGTTATTATTATTGCTATTAATGTAAGTTAAAGGTATTATAAAATGAGGTCTCCCTCTAAGGAAAATAGGGAAAGCAACAAGGATCCGCCTCTTCACCGGATCCAAGTAAAAAAGATTTATTTGAAATTTATTGGATGAAATTTATAAAATTTTTTATTAAAATTAATTAAATAAAAAATTAGAAGTGATAGATTCAAAATTTTTATTATATAAATTAGATAGATAAGTATTTTTTTATAATTTTTTTGAATGTATTACTGATTTTTTGCTAAATCAGGCAATAATTCCTATTGATAATTACTAACATGTTGAACGCATGCACTGCAAGGTCGATCGGTAGTCCTTGCTTGTTGCTTAAGTAAATTTTTGGCACGTGTCTAGCCCTAGACACTTGATTAGTACATGTGTGCACGTGTTTAATTCCTAAAATTTTGTGATTTTTTAATTTCATTTATTGAGATGATTTCTTTAAAAAGATTTGCAGATTGGTCGTCTCATCCTCAAGCCTAGCTCAATTTGCCCTAATTTTAACTTTAAATACCTTATTTCACAACACTCACCAATCATCATCGATTCCACATCGATTCCTAATTACCAATTTTCTTTATAATTCTCATAATTTCTCTTTGTGTTTAGAAGTTCGCTTTGCCTCCCACCGCTACTACTAAGGGTGAAAAAAAAATCCATAAATTGATTTAATGTTGGAGTATTCAATTTAGATCGAATTAATTTTTTTATTTGATTTTAGATCAAATTTAAATATTAAATGTATATATTAAGTATGAATTAAATTTTAGATTGAAAAATAAAAAATAAATAAAAATAAATTAAATTATATATTTTTATATATTTTTTAAATTTTTATAAAATAAAAATAATAATTTTATATCAAAATTTACTTAAATATATTAAAATTTTATATTAAAATAATATATAAAAATTAAAAATCGATAAATTAAATTAAACCGATAAAATTTGATTCAATTCGATTTAGATCAAATGAAAATTCAATTTAAATTCAAATCAAATTTTAATTTTTTATAATATTATATAAAATCTAAAAAAATTAAACAAAATTCAATTCGATTTGAACCATTATCATCTCTAGCTACCACTAATCTCTACATAGTTAGTAGTCACGTCCATAGTCTCAAAAAAACCACCTCTGGTTCCTGCAAAACTCATTTTTATTTTGCCAAATCTAACCTGAAGTACTGGTCGGCACTACCAGTTGTTGATAGGGAAGGTGACACCCAGTTCTTTTAAATGGGTTGAAGCAGCTTCTTATGAAGTTCCAGGCAAGTGCCTAAGTTCATCCATGATCATAGGATCATCAGTAGATTCAGTGTGCCTTTTGAATTGATTTCAGAGAATGTCCAACATTTCCAAACAAAAGCTTCAGGATTATTGGAAAAGTTTGGAATTTATAAGCACAAATCATCGCCATACCGGTCACGGTACAATGGAAAAGTGAAAAAACTAACAATAATGTTAAAGCCATTTTGAGTATGACATCAGACACTTACTGGATTGGCATGATAAGTGGGCACAACACTTTGGACATGCCGAGCTTCAATTTGATCACCCATTAATTGGAGGTGCACCATTTTCCTTGATTTATGTCTTGCCAGTCAAACTCGAGGTAGACACAGTTTGGAATCTTAAGTCGGGAGAAGATTGGATCAGTACGAGGAATTTAATGGCTTGGATGAAAACGACTGCAAGCCTTGTATCATACACAAGATATCATAGAAAGTTAGCTTGAACTTTCGACAAAAAGTGAAGAATTGGAACATAAAAGAAGGAGATTACATGCTTAAAAATGCTCATAGAAGTCCCTCTTGAACCAAGCAGAAAGTTAAGGCTGAACTGGGAAGGCTCGTATATCATGAAGAAGATTTTTAATGGTTGGACTGCAAAATTAGCTTATTTGGGTGCAGTAACGAGATCACTGAACCTGTCAACCTGGACAGATTGAAGAGGTACTTTGTCTGAATTCTCGTTAAACAGAAAATCCAAAAGGATAGTTTAAGCAAAAAATTAAGGAATGGATTGCAAGGTTGAAAACCAGAAATTGTGATCTTGGAAAAAAAAAAGGATCAATGATAAAATAAATAACGAAAAAAAGGAGAAATGAATAAAAGGGTCATTGCCAACCAGCCAGCACCACTGCCGGTTCAACAACGAGAAGGTTTCGATCAACTATAGATCCGCCCTGTTAAGTTCCAACCAACGTTTTGATTTTGCTTTAGTGATTCTTTATTTGTAAAATTTAATTGTTTTAAATAGTCCAATTAAGGAAAGGAGGAAACTTTGCATTCTAGATATATTTCATTCTAACGTGGAAATTTGCCCATTTTTATTCATTGCACTTAGAAATGATTGAACTACAAATTGATGGGTTTAAAGCAAAATCAAAAGTAAACTAAAAGGGTAGAATTATCACTTCTTACAAATAATGAAATGCCTACTCCTAAATTCTTAATTCTAAAAAAAAAAAAAAAAAAACAAAGGAAATTTTCTAGCAAAACTAAAATTATTTTTCTTCTGCAAAGGAAATAAACTAAAAACCGTCAATTTCCCATCCTCCTCCTTCTCTTCACTGTAAATCTTAGCCGACAAAACTTACATAGAATTATTTAGGTAAAAATTATAAAAAAATTTTAAAAATTAATTTAATAAAAATTTTAATAAAAAATTCAAATCAATAGATAAATAAAGTTTAATATAAAAATTAATAATATGTAAAAAAATTATTAAAAATATTAATTATAATTTAAATTTAATTTATACTTATTTAACAATAAAAATTTTATCAATATTTTAACTAAAAATATATATTTAAAAAATATATCAAAATTTATTATTATTATTATTTTAATTTTACGTACATAATATGCTCTACGTGGTTAAATATTTACCTATGCAAGAATCTTTCCTGACCTTATCAAACCTTAAAAAGTCCTATCCATAAATACTATTGGCACAAGTCAATAGAGAGTTTCAACTCTTAGCTAAGGGTGTTAGATGATATAGGTAAGATGAAAAATATTTTATAAAATATTTTTTTAATTTTTATTATGGTATTATTTATCAATAAAATGACATTTTAAATAGAAAATAATTTTTAAAAAAAATTAAAATTAAGGTTAAAAATTCAAAATATATTTTCTAAATTACCCATCATTTTTAAAAAATTAAGTAAAAATTTCTATATTGGTTTTAAAAATTAAAGAAAAACTCCATATCATTGTAAAATATTATGTAAAAAATTTCATATCATTTTAAAAAATGGATTTAGTAATCTATTCAAAAATTTATTTTCCATCCAAAGAATCTAATTTGAATTTTTTTTTTGGTTAAAAACTTTATATTCATATAAAATAAAAACATAATTTAAAACATTTTTTTTTATTTTCTATAAAACATATTTTGCAAAATATATTTAAAAAAGAAAAATTAAATATATTTAATATTTAAAAATGAATTTTTTGGATAGTAAATAGTATTTTTATTATGATTTATGAGTACAATGATATTTTAATACAAATTAATTTTTTTATTTTTAGAATGTATTGAATTTTTAAGAAAAGGAGTTTGAAAATTTTAACTTTATTTTAAGTTTTGAATATTTATTTACTAATTAAAACAAAAAAAATTAACTAATAGGTTATATTACAACAAAAAATAAAAAAAATTTAATTTTAAATTTAATATTTTTATAAGATATGTATAAAATATATAAAATTTTAAGATAATTTTATCCTTAATCCTTACCACTTAAGTATCAACTAACATTATCACATAATACCAGTTGACGTTTAAAGTCAATTTAGACGGTTTCATATAAGGAAGAATCAAAGTAGGATAATTTTGAATAATTGAATATTTAATTAAAATTTTTTAAAAATTAAAAATCAAAATAAAATTTAGATTAAGAGACTATAAATTCTATTAACCTTAACATTTAATGCTAAACATTAACAAATGTGAGTATTTGTTTAAAATTGCATTGATTTTTTTAAGAAATTCGTTTGCCTCTGTTTGAAGAGGGAAAATAGGTTGGCATTTTAAATTAACAAAGAAATGTGAAAATTATTTTCCTTTTCTTGGACCTAATAAAATTTTCGTAGAGATAAAAATTCGTTCTTGTTTCATTTTTAGCAAATCCACGAATAATTCCGAATTAATTTTTTTTTCTATCTTAATTCTTTTATTTTTCGTCGATAACCCATGTCTTCCTTCAATTTCATTCTTCATTTCTTTTTTCTTTAAATTTTCACAACATTTTTGTACTCCAAAGACCCAAAAATTACCAGAACTTTCAATTTGCTTCCACCATCTTCAACCCTCTTTCAACCCCTTCTTTTCTTTCAATGTGCATCATCATCTTTATATTAGCTATTGTAATGTTCACTAAATTTTGCGTCATTGAATAATTCTGGCTAAAATAATTAAAAATTTGTTTAACTTTATTAATTTACTTAAATAAACTTTTATATTTTTATATCACCTAAATAAATTCTTAAAATTTAATTTTCATTTAAATAAACTCTTAATCCTTAGATTATATCTAAATAAGCCTTTGATTTTTAATTTATATATAAATAAGTCCTTAATATGTATCAATCTTTTATTTGAAGTAAGAATTTATATGGATACAAATTAAAAAAAAAATGATTTATTTGGATATAATAAAAATATATGAGGTTATTTTTTAAGAAATTAAATAGTTTAAGGGCTTTTTAGTATTTTAGCCAATAATTTTCACACGCATATACTCTCATCTTTCTCTATAAGCCCACCCACGAGTCACTCCCAACTCTTTTCCTTTTCCGTCACAAATAACCACATTGTAAACAATCTTCGTTTTTCTTCATTTTATTTTGTAGAAGAGAATCAAGGCTTAAGCTTTTTCATATATAATATATATATATATATATAATATTCTTTCATTTTATTTTGCAGGTTCCATGTTAGTGCTACCATTAAACATGAGGTTTGATTTTTTTCAAAATTTCATTGTGATTATTTGAATATCCATGTTTGAAAAAAGTATCCATAACTTTCATTTTTCTAAGGCTTTAGATTATTCTTCCTTGCAATTGATGCTAAATTTATCCTCCAACTAACCATTCTCTTCATAGGCAAGAATCTATGTATCTTTTTAAAAATTTTATTGACGGTTATTTGATTTAAACTTTTGATTTAAGATAATTCAATTTCAAAGAAAGTGACAGATTTTTAACAGTAATCAAAGTTTTTGAATCAAAAATCTATTTTTTTTCTGTAATATTCTAAGATTTAGAGAGAAAAAATTACATTATTTATAAATTTGACTTAAATAAAAAATTATAAAATAATCATTATTATTTTTAAAAATATGTTTGGAAGTAACTATAAATCAGTTGTAAGTTTCTGCTACTAAAATTTTTTTATATTGCAATTAATGACGTTTGGCATGAAAAATGCCTTAAATAATTTTGTTTAATTTTTTTTAGAATTATTTAAGATATTTTTTGACAAAAAATACCTTAAATAATCTAATTCAATTTTGTAAAAGATTATTTAAGGATTTTTTTAGTCAAAAATACCTTAAATAATCTCCTAAAAAATTGATTAACATTATTTAAGATATTTTTTGACTAAAAATATCATAAAAAATCTTTTAAAAAATCTTATAAGTAATCTTAAAAAATAAATGTTAGAAGGAGCAGTAAAACCTACAATCTTATAATCAATAGCCATATATTTTAATCTATTAAGCTATTCTAATTTTTTTTATATATTTTATCTCTTAAATCTTATAAAGAATGAAAAAGATTATTTAATTTCCTCATATTTTTTAAATGGCATGTATTTAAGATATTTTTAGACAAAAAATGTCCTAAATAATTCTTTTTAAAAAATAAAAAAAATTATTTAAGGTATTTCTCAATAAAAACACCTTAAATAATTTTTAATATTTTTTATTGATGATATTTTATAAATAAAATAGGAATAAAATAAAATATTTATCTTTTTTTGTTGTTAAAAGTATCATTTATCATTTGAGTATTTATTATTAATAAAAATTAATAAAAAATTATCATCATATATGTCAAAAAAATTATAATAATTATTCAAAAATTAATATACAAAAATTCTTCTAATAAAATGAGTAAATTTAAACACGAAATATTTTAAAAATAAACAAATATCAGATATCATATTTTTTTTCAAAATTTCAATGTGATTATTTGAATATCCATGTTTGAAAAAAGTATCCATAACTTTCATTTTTTAAAGGCTTTAGATTATTCTTCCTTGCAATTGATGCTAAATTTATCCTCCAACTAACCATTCTCTTCAGAGGTAAGAATTTATGTATTTTTTAAAAAATTTTATTGGTGGGTGTTTGAGTTTAACTTTTAATTTAAGATAATTCGATTTCAAAGAAAATGATAGATTTTTAATAGTATCCAAAGTTTCTGAATCAAAAATCTATCTCGTCCTATGATAGTTTAAGATTTGGAGGAAAAAAGTTACATTATTTTTAAATTTGACTTAAATAAAAAATTATAAAATAATTGTTACTATTTTAAAAAATATGTTTGGAAGTAACTATAAATCAATTGTAAGTTTTTGCTACTAAAATTTTTTTATATTGCAATTAATGACGTTTGGCATGAAAAACTTCTTAAATGATCTTGTTCAATTTTTTTTAAAGATTATTTAAGATATTTTTTGATCAAAAATATCGTAAATAATTCAATTCAATTTTGTAAAAGATTATTTAAGGATTTTTTGGTCAAAATATCTTAAATAATCCCCTAAAAAATTGATTAGCATTATTTAAGGTATTTTTTATTAAAAATATCATAAAAAATCCTAAAAAAATTCTTATAAGTAATCTTAAAAAATAAATGTTAGAGGGAGAAATAAAACCTACGATTTTATAGTCAATAGCCATATACTTTAATCAATTGAGCTATTTTAATTTTTTTATATTTTATCTCTTAAATCTTATAAATAATGAAATAGATTATTTAATCCTCTCATATTTTTTAAATGATGTTTATTTAAGGTATTTTTAGACAAAAAATGTCATAAATAATTTTTTTAAAAAAATAAAATAAATTATTTAAGGCATTTCTCAATAAAAACACTTTAAATAATCTCTAATATTTTTTTATTAATGATATTTTATAAATAAAAACAAGAATCAAATAAAACATTTATCTTTTTTTATTGTTAAAAGAATCATTTATCATTTGAGTATTTATTATTAATAAAAACTACTAAAGAGTTATCATCATATATATCAAAAAAATTATAATAACTATTCAAAAATTAATATACAAGAATTTTTTCTAATAAAATGAGTGATTTAAATACAAAATATTCTTTAAAAAAATAAAATATTACTTTTTTTTTTAAATCATATTTTTTTTTTAAATTTAAAATTCTACGAATCAAACACTTTCTTTATACCTTCTTTATGTTTTTAAATCCCAGGTAATTGGAATCAATCTCCAAGTAAAACTCCTTGTATTTGATAATTTGGATGATTTGATAAGAATTATCCATGACCAAACTCAATAATTTAGCTCGTAAAAGATTGAACAAATAATATTTTGAATTCATACTAGATGTCAAATCTTATACTTACTATTCTTTTCTATATATCCATATTTGAAAAAAAATAATAATTTAAATATTCATTTGACCTTGTACTATGTCACTTTCATTAATTTCGTATTTAAAAAATTAAAATTCGTAATTATATAATTTGATCTTAAATTTCGTCAGGCACCGTACTTCAAAGGTTGGGTCTGTTATGATATGATTTATTTGATCAATGATAAAATCCTAGTTGTCAGGTTATTACTTAATAATATACTTAATTATTGTCATATCATTAGTGAGTCCATTATTATGTTAATATGAAGAAAACATAAATATTTTTTTAAAAAATAAAAAATAAAAAAGAGAAAATTTTAAAATATATGGGTAATTTAATAAAAATTTCCAAAAAATAAAATAAATATAAAAAATTAAAAAATTATGATGATTTAAAATTCAAAATTAAAACATTTTAAAAAATAACTAAATTCAAAGTCTGAAAATTCTAAAAAAATTAAAATTTGGAAAAAATTTTTTAAAAATTCAAAAAAAAAAGAAAAAGAAAAAGAAAGAAGAACTCAGGGAGAGAAAAAAGAAAGAAAAAAAAGGAAGAGACAACTAAGGGATGAGAAGGTGATGATCGGGTACGATCGGTCGATCTACATCGAATCAAGGTCTATCTACCTTGGACCAAGCAATTCAGTGTCGATCTGGTTGGAAACATCTATCTACCTGATCTATAACAAATCAATCCCAATCCGCACAACCAGATCGACGTCTATCTACCCGATTCAGGATAGATTAATCCCTATCCACCTTGTGCCGGTTGATGGACGGTCAACCCCTCCCCTCCCCTCTATTCTCTTCCCCTTCGTTTCCTCTTTATCCCTAATTTTATTCTCCTGATTTTTTTTTCACGTTCTTCCATTTTATCTTTTTTTAATAAAAAAATGATATAATATTTTTACCACATGTCATAATTTAATTAAATATTCTTTCCACATGGACTACTTGACTAATAATTATAAATTTTTAATTAAAAGGGCCAAAGGTGTGATATAAATAAAGTTTGAATAACCGATTGCAGATTTTAATGAAGTACCGATAAATTAATTATAATTTACTTAAAAGATAAATGTTACAAATATTTTATAAATTATTACTAATAATTAGTTATAAATTGATTATTTTGATAATTTATAGAAAATGAGATTTGATTATTATCATGAAATACCAACCACAATAGTTGTAAGATCACCACTCCGCATGAATCTTAAAAATGACAAAACTGTTTACAGTCATTCAAAACTACAATTTTCAGATTATGACAACTAGAAACAGGGCAATGGAATTGTAACTCCAATTGGACTTTAATCATTTCTGTGAAACTATCACTTTAATCAAATAATCAGATTACAAAAATGGATCACACTTGGTAAAGCATTGAATAATGGATATGGTTAACAATAATCATATAGTAACAAAGTCTGAGATCACCAAGTGGGAAAAGGGGGGACAACCCTCAAGTTCACATGCCAAAGCAAAAGGTTAACCATGAAACAAAAACCCTTTAATGCAACTATGCCGGCACCTAAGGGGTCCATGCTCCCTTAGGATGACGGTGGAATCTGATTGACTATAGAGATCTTCTAGCATCAATTCCGTCCGATTCACGATGTAAAACACCTCTGAAAAACTAAGCTAAATGGCTTTAACAACTGTATCACGAGTTTGGACTTGAATCAAACAGATAATATTAACAGAAAGTGTACCAATTAAGAATTGAATGCTATGCAGCAGAAATTGCAGCATAGCCTTTCTCCTCGAGAACTTCAGCTAAGGAGCTATCTCCTGTCTTTATGATTCTTCCATCCTCCTGAAAATCTCAAAGAAAAACATGTTCTGAATGGGAACAAAGACATTTTTTTTTTATCATAGAATAACAAATTCCTTTAGTAATATGCCAAATAGATAGGCACTAGAATACTGTATGGAACACAAGATGAAACCTGAAATATATAAAAGTTAGAAATGGTGACTCAAAAAACAGCAAAGAACAAAGGATATTAGGACATCCAGAAATCTGGTTAAAGCAAAAAAAAGCAATGAACTCTGTTAAGCTGAGCAAAACAAAGTACTAAACTTTATTTTGTTTGATACTGTTTCAAAATGCTCCTAATGCCTAATTAAAGCTTACAAAGATGATTAATGGTACATGACCTATAAATCAAAACTGGATAGACTAGTCCATTAGGGCATACTTTATTAACAGTAATTAGAAACAGAAAAGACAGGTGAAACTATGAAACATAAGTTAACTTGCTGATCTCTTGAAATCATGAATGTGGACCAATGTACACATAGTTTATAGTTCAGCCAAGATCTCTGTTGCTTACTATTAGTTAGTTACTGCATGTTAGAGCTCGATATCTTTCTAATACTTTAAAGAGTGTCAAAAAGGACCAACTATACATGTGACCATGAAAAGAGCTTTATGTTTCAATAAGGGAGTTTCCAGGGTGAAGCTGCATTCTCTACTTTTCCACGGAAAATGAAATCAATAATGCACAGAATATCCGCAAGATCAATGTTTTCAAAATTTTAAATGACTCACCATAATATGGATGCATGTCGGTTTTATAACCTCCAACAGCCGTCGATAATGAGTGATAATCAAAACAGAGTTCTTTGGAGTCAAAAGTCCATTCACTGCTTTTGCTACATCTCGAAGGGCATCAACATCTAAGCCAGAATCAATTTCATCTAGCATAGCCAAGTCTGCCCCAAGAACCTATAACATTAAAGAAGTAAATATAGAGATGAGAAAAAAATTTTAATTTTCTTAGCTTCTATGCATTCATAAAACCCACAAAGCAAACACTCCCAACCCCCATCTTTTCCCCCTTCTTCTAATAAACCAAAAATATTTAGAAAAATAAACAGCAAATCAAAGAATGATCATAATCAAGTTACAGCTCATCCCTTTTTAAAAAAAATTAAAATTAAAATATTTCTCAGACTCAGCATCAAATGATGACTAGAGAAGCCATATACAGATAATCTTGATTAAAATGCATGTCAACTAAATGCAGTCCCATAAGAAACTTAAAACCACATTTTCTCTAGAAGCACTAAATGTTGAATTTTTTTCCCTCCAATTACAATTTACAACTATGCCAATTTTTTTTTCCCCCACCGACTAGCGGCTTGAGAATTCCTAGATGTGACTCCATTTTTTTTTTTGTTGAGAAATTAGGAACCACAAAATTTGGAGATTCAAACCCATGGACAGAATATTCCCTAGATTTCACGATTATAACTCGCTATCTCTCTCTTAGGGGAGAGGAGCAACATGTACTTGAACCCAGGGCATGTTGTCTATCACAAGAGATTGATGACCACTGATCCAAAAGGAGTTAGCCTATATTCTATGTTCTGGGTATGTAAACATCAATGGTATGTAAGCAGTGAACGAAAATTCTAGGTTCTAACAAGAACTGCCTTTGCAACTAGCAAACGAAGACAGACACCTTTCCATTGATTGACAAAAAGATATTCTATTAGAAAATATATGAAACACAGAAAACTATTCCACAATGAATTACCAAGAGGAATTTTATATCAAATTACCGCAAGCTGCAAAATCTCATTGCGCTTCCTTTCACCACCACTAAAGCCTTCATTGACATTTCTGTTAAGGAAGTCAGTCTTCATGTTCACGAGATCGAGTTTAGGATATATGTAAGCATAGAACTGCAAGAGTAAAATGATGTAAATTTTATAATCAATAACAAAATGAGCATGACTATTGTGTTTTCCTTAAATTTATGAGCTTCTAAATTAGAACAGATAACCATATAGAAGTAGCCTAGCCATAGCAAATTTTGATCTTTTTATAAAAAATATTATTATTGTTTAAAGAGGGAGAAGATGAGGAGGATCTCAACAATGCACTAGCAAGTTCTTTCATAAGAGATGGTGTGGAGAGCAGTTCATATACCTCAAGTGGACCAAGCTCTGGCTCACCAAGTTTTTTCCTTCGAGCATTATAAGCCATTTGCAAAAAGTCAATATTATTCACACCCGGGATCTCAACTGGGGTCTGGAAACTCATAAAAAGTCCGGCAAGAGACCTCTCCTCCGGCTCCATGTCAAGCAAATTCTCTCCCTTAAACACAACACTACCCCCAGTCACCTCATAATCAGGGTGCCCAACAAGAACCTACAATACATAAGTTTTACCAAGACCTTCCAATAAACAATTCATAAAACAGTCTGATTTCATCTAACTATCTCGACCAATTTAAACGAATGTAAGTAGAATTAGTTTTTAAGAAGACATATTTAATTTAATGAACAAAAGGCACGCTTTTAGATAGATTTGGCAATCTTAAATACAATACGAAAACAATAAAAAGCAACCCAACCATACAAAAAAGATACAAAAGCAACAAAATTTAAAATATTAGCAAAATCCAAATATGGGTTTGGTAAAAACCAAATATATGTTTTATGTTCGGCGTGTTGACACAATTTTCGTGTTTTACATTAAATGTACACACACAAGAATACAAGAATTATAAGTCTATTTTTATATATCAATTTGCGGTGTTTTTAAATTCCAACAACAGTATTCCATATTAGTAAATATTTACACAAGATAAGGAAAAAGATTAAAATTTAAATACATGTGCAAAAAAAATACAAACCTTAGAAAACGTACTCTTCCCAGAGCCATTCTTCCCCATTATAGCATGAATCTAACCAACATAAACAAACCATTTTTTTTAAAAATTCTGGGTCTAATATAAGAAACTTCATTCATACGAGTTAAAGTATTAGGGAACAAATTAATATGTTGACCTCTCCATGGTGAACAACGAGGTCGACGCCTTTAAGGATTTCCTGTTTGGTTTCAGCAATCACGGCAGTTAAACCTTTGACTTCGAGAAGAGGGGTCTTCGAATCGCCAAAACCGTTGGTAGAGGTGGGAGATTCGACGGCGGATAAAGAAGCGGCGACGGGCCTAGGAGACGGCACGTGAGTAGAGCGGAGACAGGAAGAGAGAACAAGAGGGAGAGGAAAAAACAGAGAAGAGGAAGGCAAAGGTTTTGGGGTAAGGGTCGGAAGAGAAGGGAGTGGTGGTGAAGCAGTGCACTGAATTTGGCAAGCCATTGGCAGATATAAAATTATTGTTTCCTTTTCGTTTTCCTTCTATTTGATTTTGTTTTTAAAGAGAGAAAGAAGCCGGTGGATTTGGATATGGGCTTGGACTTTTACAATGACGAGGATTTACTCTTGTCCCGCGGCGACTGTAGCTGCTACAACTCGGATTTCTACCCCCTAGACTTCTAATAATAACTTTGGTGATTAGATTTGTAATCTACCATCTATATTTTCGTTTTGGGGTATTTATAACCTATCATGTAATTATGCAATCCTGATTCATAGTCTAAAACACCCAAAAATACCCACATATATATATAACTCAAAGGCCCCCGAAAATTAAACAAATTACACAAAAATTAACAAAGAAACAGTGAAAATATTACAAATAGAATATTAGTTCAAATGGCATCATCAAACAATATTCACATACAATAAGTAGTCGCCTGACCAATACAATTCCTTCCACATCTTAGCAGTGCGTACAAATAAATTAAAGCAGTTGAACATAATAAATTACCATTTGTAGCCACCAAGATCGAAGGTTTCACAGTAGACCTTCTTGACCTTTAAGTCTCGGGAAATTATCACCCAAACGAGCACACAGAAAAGAGAAGAAAAGGAAAACAAAAGATAAGGAATATTATGTAATTTGTTGGCTTTAAATCTTTCCTTTTATAGAAGAGATGAAGTCTTTCATTCTAACCCATTCTGCCTCAACGGTCTTCTCCTCCTCCTCAGCAACGTTGGCCTTGGCCTCATACTCTGGCCATTGCTTTCCCAATGCTTCCAGCTCCATTTTCAATTCCTTGGAAATTCTAAAAATTTGCTTCTGCTCAGCCAAGATATTCTCTCTATTCTTTTGTGCCTCATCAACTTGCTCATGGAGGGCAGCAATTTTTTGCTCCACCTGTTTCACTTCTGCCTTGGCCTCTTTGAATTTGATTAAACTACGCTCCAGATCACGGTTAAGGTTCAGCTTGACAGATTCCTTCTCAGTAAGGAGATTCCTGTCCTGCACTGCTTTTGCTGCTCGGTCTGGTAGTTCTTTAAAGTTTTCCTCCATGGCCAACAACTCATTTTTTTGCTCGATTGTAAGGGTAGAGGAACAATCAAAACTAGATAGGATCTTGAATGCTTCATTAAGTGGATAAAATTCCTCTGAATCATAAAAATTAGCAGGGGCCATATTCAAGGCTTCCTCTATTTTGGCCAGAGCTTCCTTTGCTTCTTCTTGAGAAGGCACAGTGTTAGAGCGTGCAAGCTCCGACTCTAAGCTAGTAAAGAATGTGTCCATATCTTCCCCACTAGAGTCTTCAGGTTCAATGGTCTGAAATGGAGGAAAAGAAAGTAATAATCGAGATACATATATGCGTAAATATTAACAACATGGATGATTTACCTCACTCTGGGAAGCAGTTGGCAAGTTTTGGTTGGTAGAATTTGCCTTATCTTGCCCTGGAGGAGATAGAACAGCAGGAGCTGCAAGAATAGCTGGTGAAGGAGTTGTGGTTTCTTCTGGTTTTGTTCCTAACGTTTTCTCGTTGTCTATGGCTGCCTTGCACTTGAGTTTGTCGGAATCAGCTTCAACCATAAATTCGTGTGACCCCCAATAAATAGTCCTATTCCTATCAGTGGAAATATCGGCTTCAATTAAGCATGCATCATCCACGAGGTAGCCTCTTTTAGGGTCGTGCAAGTCTCTGAGAGGTAAGAATGAAGTGAAGCCCCAATCATTCTCCCTGGCGTTAAACTCATGGTGAGTGTCTGCCAAAAGCAGGAGTGTCAGTAAATACTAACCACTTTGAGTTGATGATAAAATTCTAAGAAAGAAAAAGGCATGGATAATTTATTTGGCATGTGGTAATTGCCTGTTTTGACCGTGCCAAAGCCTCAAAAAGAAGCCCAGCCTTCATGCATTTACCAGTTACCACCTAAGGCAGGGCCTAGGGGCACATAAAATATATATATTCATCCCCAAACAGGAAGTACAAAATGGCCAAAATAGAATAAGATAGGAACCATTAGCCAAGGAATACGAATTACAAAAGCAAAAAGAAGCTGAACAAAGAATGAAAAGAGATTTAATCAGGAAAACCTAGTAATGCAAAATGAGAAAAAACAGGACACAGCACAGAATGGCTCTTCTCTTTCCAAAATTAGAAGACGCGCATATTCATTACAAAGATATATGATCAAAGTAAAAAGGCCCCAAGTAAAGTAATGTACTATAAAGCCAATATTTAATATAAGATCAAGGGAAACATACTGTGGAAGACAAACAACAGGCAAAATATTTTTTTCCCCTCAGTGAAACCTTTCATTTCTAGTTTTCTAGCTATCCGTATCTATATATATACTACGATCATGTCTTATATATAAGATTATTGATAGGATAAAATGATAATTATTTTATATTATATTTGATTTGTATTTAAAGAGAGGGATATGGATTGTAAGAAGGATTAATATCCTCATGGCATAGAATTATTCAATCTTCCCTAAATGAAAAATATTATTTTTAATTTATATAATTAAACTTACATATCCAATTGTACTCTTAAAAATTATATTAGTAATTTTAATTATATAAATTTTGAGGAAAGATAATTTTGACAAATAAATAAATTATCTTATCTTAATCTTTACATACATCAAACACAAAATAAAATGATATCATTTAATCTAATCCTATTCATAATATTATCTTATCATATTCTATCATAATTTTGTATACCAAACATGACTTATATGTAAAAGTGTAAATTGAGTGGATGGGCACATAGAGTAGAATTTGAGTTAGATCATTTCAGATCATGTCATTTTGGATTTGAATCTTTTGAATTTGACACTCATTATTTGAGTTTAGGTAATTGATTTTGGGTTATTTCGAGTCCAAATTATTAAGTTTTAAAATTAAATTTATTTAATTTTGAGTTAGGCTTTCGAGTTGTTTGATTTCAATTATTTTATAATCATGTTTTATTTGAATTCAAGTCATTTCACTTTTGAGTTAGATGGATTTGAATTATTAATTTTTTTTTTCAAAACAAGTTAGAGTTCGAGTTTGGGCAAATTGTAAGGGTTTTTTAGATTCAGTTCAATTTTGATAGCTCTAACTGTATGTAAATGTGGATTAAAGGTTGTGAAACTTAAAAAAAAAAAAAAAAACCTAACTATCTTTTGCTTTCATTCAAATTTAAACTATGTCCATTTTTATATCATTGGAAATAAAATTTATAATATTTTATTTATTCATAGAGGTTTTATCCTCAATAATAGGGATGACAATAAATTCAATCCGTTTATGTTGAATTCGGATTGTTATAAATGGATAATAACAGATTTAATAAAAGTTTATTATCTGTGACGAATTAAAGCAGATAAGAATAATATTTCCTAAATATTCAATATCCGAATCTATTTAAATTTTAATAAATAATAATAAATATCCGAATTTATTACTCATTTATATATATAATATACAAAATTTTATACTTGTAGAAAGTTTTGGATTTTAAAAAATAATTTTATTTATTATTAATTAAAAGTGAATTTGAATTTTAAATTAAATTTTTATTTATTTTATATTTTAATAAAAAAATTAAATAAATATATATTTTGATGCAATCAAACATTTAAATGGATAGTACTTATTTAATTAAATTCAATTTGAATAATGATATTAAACTTAAATGGATATTTAAACGGATTCAAATATTATAAATATTAAATAGATTCAGATATGAATATCTCAAACATAATAGATATCAATTCCGTTACCATTTCTACTCAATAAATAGCATCCAAGAATTAAAAGTTATTAAAAACACATATAAAAAGTAATTAACTTAAAAATTAGTAAATCTCATTAAATAATTAGTTAAAAGATTTTAACTAAAAATATTTCTCCTATTATTTCAATTGGATGTTGCAAAATAATATTCATTTTCCAAAACAAAAACAGTTTTTCAATATTATATTTGTTGAAATACTAAAATAGTATTTGGTTTTGGAAAACAAAGACAGTTTCTATTTTTATTTTATTGAAACATGAAAAGTAAAAGTAAATATGTATTTGGTAATGAAAAATAAAAATATATTTAAAAAAAAAAGAATGAAAATAGAGTCAAATATGAAAACAAAAAAAAAATTTTAATTATGAAAATAAAAAATTTTTACTTATGTTTCTACTTATGTTTAGAACATTAAGAAGTTGATTGATACTTGAATATTTTTTAAAGTTATTGTTAATAAAGGAGTAGATCAACTTACTCTGCTGTAAATTATTTTAGTCTTATATTTTTTTTAATAGTTGATTTTAATAAATTTAAAAAATTAGAGAAACTAGATAAAAAAAAGATTTAATTTCATTCTTTGGATCCATTAAAATCAATGATTAAAAAAATATATAATTTTTTTTTAGTGTAAATTGATTCCTCTCCGTTAATAAATATATATTATATATTTATAATTAAATATCATTAATAATAATTATTTCCATAATTACTTATTTTTCTTTCGTATTTTTATAAAACAATTTTTTATTTCATTCACCAAATATATTTTTTAGAAAAGAAAAGATAGAAAAACAAAAACTATTTTTAAAAAATAAAAAAAAATAAAACAAAAAATATTTTTTCAACGAAATAGAGTCTAAACTTTGTTTTTACAACTTTTAAAGATAATATTTTAAAATCAAGAACAAAATACCTCATCCCTAAAACTTTGTACCATTTGAAAAATGGACATTGAATTTGAAATGGATAGAGTAATAGATTTCGAAATTTATTGAATGCTCAATTTTTGAGTCGAGAAGAAGTAAGATCATGACAATATATTTAAGTGGTAGAGTAAAATACCTTTTGCATTCGAACTTTTACGATCGATTTGGTTGACGACAGCTAATCTGAACTGCGCATATCTACTCCATCCGTAAGGCAAAGTTGCTGAATCTGCAACATCTACATAAATTGATAAAGAATCCACACGGTTCCCCTTGGGAAAGATAAGAAGTCGCCTGTCAAATTATAATTGCACATCTAATCATTGATAGATAAAAAAAAAAAAAAGGAAAGTAAAATATAACCAACAAAAGTAGATCAAAATTACCATCGAGTGTCGCCGACATCGAAATTTTTGGAGTAGAGCTTCTCGTCGGCAATTCTCGAGAAATTCTCGATCCTCCATGTGAATTTCCTCAGTTGTCGATTAATATCCATAGACTGACTATCCACTGCACTTGAAAAAGTTTAAAAAGAAAAAATTAATTCAAAGGCTTAGTTTTCTTTCCAT